TTTGTAGAATATTGTAATTATGTTTGTTGGTAGTGATTTGGCTTAAAGTGTATCAAACTCCATAAACACTGACAGAGAGCAATGATGCTGAGACTATGTTGGTGTTATTTGTAAGTATACTAGTATAAGAGAAGTCGAGCGGACTAATATTCTCTGGTTGACTAGTATAGAAGGAGATACATCTTATCCAACAAGCAACCATGTTGCCACGTCTCATGACGGTCATCCCTGACATCCTTCAATGAAAAATAATATTAGTACAAGATATAACAAACGAGTTACCTTCATTATCATGCTTATTAATATCTATGAAAATACCTTTAGTCTTTATTTTTTATTATTTGTGAATAGAATATTGAAAAGTCATGTTGTTGTGGGTGATGATGATGCTAGATTAGAGTTATTATGAGAGGGACTCAGGCTGTAGGACCCAATATTCATCTGGTTTACAAATACTCTGTTGCCACACCTCAATAGTCCCCAAGAAAATAAGACGTGACCAAGAAGAAGAACACGTTTCGGGTAACTATAAACGTGGCTAGCACTTGAATTATCTCAATTCTTTCTTTTCTTCTTTTTTTCTTTAGATAAACATACCAACACCAGCAAATGTACAATCTCTAATTGTGTGTCTACATGACCTTAAATAAAAATACAAGTTGAAAATATTCCAAACATAAAAAGAATTCATGATTCAGAGTGACATCAAATAAAGAGGAGATAACTTCCCAGAATCCTTGGCATTCCTATAGATTTCTAGCTTTCTATCTTTGTATATTGCAATATATTGCACAAGTATGAGTCTATATATGTTACTTCCTTACGAGCTCATGAAACTTCCTCAGCAGCATTGAACTGCTGCTATAGCAAGATAGGTGCGAGAGACGACTTGAAATGGTTACTCAACGCAAGTCATAATTTTTTTCCCCCAAGCAAAATTGCAACGCTTGACAATGTGAAACTGCGCCAGCCATGTTGCCGTCCTTAAGAGCCTCTTGGCCTCCTCAAGCACTTGCAGTTACAAAGAGTCGAATAAACGGCCCGCCAAGAGCCAGTAGCCACATTAGTTTGACCGTCATTGTGACGTAAAACTCTTGGGTTAGAATTGTTGTAATATAAAATAAAAAAACGATAGAAAGGGGGGGAGTTTTGCTAATCTTATTTTATTCTTTTTCTTCGAAGTATCTTTCTCTTTCTTCTTTTCAATTCTTCCGGGGTGGGCTCTCGTGGAAACCCCCGTTTTTGCCGGTAAGGGGACAATCTCTTTTGTCGCGTCAAGGAATCCATATAATATAGCAAAATGAGTTGCTATGAACTTTCTTACCAAGAACATTGTACGATCGATGGATTTTAATCCATAGACTTTACGCTTCGTGGTTTTCGGGTCTTCCTCGGACCACTCTAATCACCTCATTGCTCTCTTTGGTCGCTCTACACCGGTTCTTCGTCCTCGCCCAACAAAACAAAGGCCGTTTCAAGGCTGTTTGAAGGAATAAAAAAACCGGGCCAGTAGTCTGAGTAAAAACACATACACACACGGAACATGGAACCATTTACGGAAATTATTTCGGACATCTATTTGAAGTATTTTTTTTGTCTCTCCATTTCTTTTTTGCTCTTGTCTATCCGTTATATTGTTAAAACCCATCACTCAATAGTCCAGTGTGTATTTAATACTTGACGACGACAAGTCTTTTCCGGTGTCACGCGATATTCAGAATATCCCTGTAACACGTTCGCGGGACAACAACTCTTTTAAAATGTTCAACAACAGATTCCAAACGGATTAAATCCATTTCCTCGATCTCTAAAGGTTTTTTTTATTTATTCTCAAGGTATTCGTGACGACGACAAATTTATCTGGATTTCCGAAATGTACAATAAATAAGGTCTATTGAAGAAATTGAGAGAAAAGAATTTCCTTCTCAGCATTAACAGATTTAAATATATGTTAATGGCCAACAGCATCATTAATAAACTGTAATTATTCAATTTTTTTTTCTTTTTTTTCATTAGTTTACATTGACTCATTAATGTAGTAATAATTAATTTCATATTTGAATTTTTTTCTATTATCAATATACTATTTTTCAACTACTAAAATAATTATCGTCTTCATAAAAAATTTATACTTGTTTGATAGTTTGATTAAAAACTAATAAAGAACATTTCAATAACTAATAAAAGTATCCATTCAAAGTAATAGAGTTTTTTTTCAAAAATGTTTTACTCCATTAAGAGAATTTTAACATAAAATATAGTAACAAAAAGAATCTAGATTATTTGATTAAATAAAATATATTTGAATTTATCTAGTGAATAAAAATTGTAATTTTGAAAAAACTCTGTTATTAATTTATTAGTTTGATGTAGCATAATTAATTGTAATTAGAATAAAAATAAACACAGTGACCTAATTTAATACTGTACGACTTTTTACTTTGCTTCTTTTAAGTATATTTGCCCAGTGGCCTTTCCACATTGTGAAGATAATAATATTTATCACTTCTAAAAGCTCATTAAAGAGAAATTAATAAAATTAATTTTATTGTTTTATAAAAATAAATATTTTCCCAGACAGTGACCTTTCATCCTATAATACTATAATTTTTTTGAGAAAATAATAATGATTAATAATAAATATTTGTTATTTCTTAATTAACAAATAAAATTTGTATAAGTTAAATTTGAAAAAATAAATATTTTCCATTATTAACAAAACCTGGGTTACAATTTTGACAAAAATTTACTTTAATTAAAACCTTTAATTACAAGTTTAACCTTAAAAGGGGCAATTTAATTAAAAAAAAAAAAAAAAATTAATTAAATAAGAAAAAGTAGTGACATTGGAAATAATTATTTCAAAACAGTTTGAAAATTATTATAATATCATAATTTATAAACTGGTAATGAGCACATTATAAAAGTAGTTAGTATAATTTTGGCCATGAGTATATAGATATTGAAATGATATTGCTTAAAAATGTAAAAAAGGTATATGTGTGTATATGATTCAAATTAAAATAACATCTGTATAATTCATTTCAGACATTAATTACTTGTATGTACGTCATCACTTAAACTCACATACACACACTTTAAATCGGTAGGAAATATCCAGACCCAATTAATGATAATGATGGTAGTGTCAATTTCTCCGTATTTCTTTATGTGTGATGATGCTATATACCATCAATCTACAGACAGTTAAATAGAAAAATAACGAAAATATAACCAGCAAGAAGATGAAGTGTTTCAGAGAAAAAAGAAAAAAAAATTATGAAAACAAAGTACTCGATAGAGCTACAACAACACGTCAACAAAAATTTCGTCGCAGCAAAATCGATTTTACTAAAGCTGATCCTATATACTAGTTGGTACACTCTAGTACTCCTTGGGCTAAGATCCAAGTACACTTTGCGATCGAGTCATGGTGGTAAGGTTTTTTAAGATAAAAAATTAAATATAAAGTGTATACATTATTATATCTATAGAAAAAAAAACTAGTACATATAGAATAGAAAAGAGAATAAATAAGAAAAATAATTCAAATGGAATGGAACTCCAGGAAAATTCGATGTACTACTGTAAATACTTTGTAATTACTCTTCAAAGTCGTTAAGCCTGTATCTGGTTTAATTTACGATCGCTCTTTACACAACTGGCGTGATGTTTGTTACCGAGTACGCGCAACGTCGAGGACACGCGTATTGGATTATATATTCACGCGATGAAAGCCTCTCTTTCTGCTTTCTGGATGCCCATTGGGATTCTCGAATATCCAGAGATCCGATGCCACCTCCTCTTCCTTCGTTCCCTTGAGCATTTATGTTATCGTTGAACCGCGGAGATTTTAGTTCGAAAAACACCAGAGAAATACTGGGAGTACGGCGTCGTAAAAAAAAATAAAAATAAAAAGTAGAAACAAGTAAAGAGGGAGCAAAAACTTGAGAGAGTACGTTGTTGCGATTCGAATTGGCCTGTACGTTTTACGCTTCGTTACAGGAGACCGGATAGGTAGAGCAGGGATCGTGCAAAGATTTTTACGATGCTTGTTGTAAGCCGATCCTTAGACTTTTTTACTGCTTATTTTTTAATTTTTTTCCATTTGCTTTGTCATTATTAATATTATTAACTCACGACAATTGCTATATACTTTGATATTTACTCAAAAATATTTATTCTATTTTATTGATAAATTTTTATTATTGTCTGAGGTCAATATACTTATTTGACGTCTGTGAACTTTAACGTCTAATTTATACAAATAATTTAGCATTTAAGGTTTTTATTTTTCTTTATATTAGAAGAGTTCTATCAGTAAACATTTTCGCAAAAGAGAGAATTATTGTTCAAAATAATTAATCATCAAATCTATTATGCAAAAGTTTATGTAAATAAGATTTTAGAAAAAAAGGAAAAAAGTATAGACGTCGAAAAAAAATATATATATAATATATATATTGTTTATTCAAATAAGATGATATAGAATGCAAAAACCTTAACACAAATTTTGTGATAATAGTAGTAGCAGTAGTAGTATTGAATCAAATTTATTGCTTTGTATTTTTTAGTGTCAAGCTTCAAGATAACTTAATAATTATGGCAGTGAAGAAGTAGATTACAGAATAATTACGCCACTGGATCTAATTTGTCATAAGAATACGAGGATGAAAGCTATTGAAATCACATAATTTATATTGAGATGGAATGATTGTGTTTTTTAAATGATTCTGCAACAGCTGCATTTTAATTCACCGGCATGTAAGGTCTGGTATATGCTTGATGTAAGAAAAATAGCCCCGCATCGCGTGACTCGATTATTCAACAATATGTTTACAGACCAATCTGATCAAGTTATGTACCATAAAAAACTATTGCTCTGCACGCATATAAATTGTAGAGCAATATCTTTATCATAGCAAAGAGTTTAACTTTAATTTACTCCTAACTTTGTTGTTATAATCATCATATTAATGTATACAACAGTAGTTGCTTACCACTAATTCTCCTCATATCGTTGTTGAAAAGCCGAATAAACTCCAATCCCCGTAACTATCAGGTCTTTTTAATTTGGCAAAAAGATCGTAGACAATATCAAGATACACCATACCCAATTAAATAAAAAACACTTAATGTATCAACTATCACCTGCGATCAAGTAAAATGTAAGACAGAACGACACGAATTACGCGCGCCATGCTTTACCCTTAAGCCATGATAATCATAGACGCCATGGAAAAAATTCCACTTCACTGATATAAGTAAAATTATATTATTTTGAAATAATTACAACTTTTAAGGATAATACAAAAATGACACTTTATCGTAGTTCATTATGCCGGTCGTGACGCTTAAAATAATCCCAACTGGCAAACAATCCACGTCGACGAACACAAGAACACACGATGAAATTCACAAAGTATGTTACACGAGTGATACCGTAGCAATACTGTTGGCTTTTAGTGCTGTGAGACACCACCAGAGCGCTCGGGCGGGTCCATTGTCCGACGCCGCCGTGCGTATCCCTACTACTTGTGAATCGTAAACCGTGATCCCCACTATTGTACAACGACGCGACTATTGCGACCGGCTTATACCACGCGCACAACACAAAGAAACAAACCTATGAGATTCTTTTATTCAAGGGTTTTTCAAATTTTGCTGATGCAGGAGGGTATTATGTATGACAGATCATGATACTTATTTGTTCAAGATTGAATTTAAAATTTGTCCATAATTTTTTTGATTCTTTTACGAATAAAAATTTTTTTTGTTTTTTTTCTTTTATCAATTACGGAGTGATCTATTTTCACCTGAATTATTCTCTATCTTTGTGTTATCCGATTTTTAAAAAAATGGTAAGATTGTTTTTGAAATATACATGTATACGATTATCAAGTTATATATAGTTGTAGTTTTCCCCTTTGATAGTGTGACGGTCTCCTGGTGATGCGGTTGAATGCGATAGTGGCGGGAAAACAAAACAGGGGAGTGATTAGATAAGTCAAACCGGTGTGAATATTGGATAAAATGCACTATTACGTGCAATCACAAATGTGAGTAATTTTCATTAGATAAAAATAATCTATTGATTATCGGTTAAAAATTACGAAATTAAAAACTTTTTATATCTGAAAATTAATTACTGGTACATTGTTATTGTTTAGGATGATAGTTTTATTGATGCAAAATATCCATAAAACAATTTGCTAGTTGAAACAGATCAAGAAGTTGGACGTCGGGCCTTAGTACAATAGCTCTAATTAACATCAATTACAAGTGAGAATTAAGCCAGCGTGCAAGACAACACAAAAGATGATGATCGAGAGTAAGAGAGAAAGCTTGTTTAACCGTGACCACTAATAAGAAACCAAGGCTTATATTATAGAAGCTTTGTATGCCATTATCTGGTGATATATTATTACTCAAATGCATTCTGTTTAAACCTGATATATGTCAATTGCTTAATCATGTCTTACTGAACTTTTTAGAAAACTCCGACTTTTGTGTGTACAAGTTCCGAGTATATGGATGAAAATAAATAATGGTGTGTTAATTAGAAGTTTTTCTTCACAGGAGAGTGAGATAAAAAACTAGTAAAAAGGTGACACGAGTGTCACAGCATAGAATACAAAGAATAAAGAAAATATATGAGAGTCCTTGGCCAGGTGTAACGACTTCACCCCTGATTTCCTTGTTGACTGTCGACAGTTGTCGTTCAAGTCAGAACTTTGTAACCATTTGCTTCCCTCGTGGGGTTGCAATCAAGTATCAACAGCTTGGAGCGTGTACCCATAGCAGCACGCCCGATGCTGCACAGTTAGGGGTGTCACCATAGCAACAGACCACGGGTTTTCCTCCTACACCTCCCACTCGGTCTTTCTCCGGTTCTTGACGTCCACCTTTTTACGCTCTTTCTCATTCCTCTCCTCTGGCAATCACCATCTCTCTGTTTTCTGTTCCTCTACAAACTACTATGTAGTACGAGGTTCACTCACCACTATTTTATAAGAGTTGCAGCAGCACGAGAACTGGCGCGTGCACCGTTGAGGTCATCCGTGCGATCTTGGTTTTATACTGGATATACCAAGATTTTCAAGTCAACAGCAGTCATTGGACAAATCTTTGTTGAATAACCGAACGTGAGTTACAACCAACGTATCCATGGGTATTCAATTAGACTTAAATTAAATCACTTGTCAGTAAGCTAAAACAAATATTAAAAGATTTATATAAAATGAAAACGCACGGAGAATGTATTAAAGACACAACCGCGGCCACAAATGTCACGACCAGGGTCTTTCTTTCTCTTACTTTCTTCGACTGTAAGCTCTCACAATCTCTCTTTCTTTTTTCTCCTTTACTCGTTTTTTTTTTCACCCCCTCCGGTTGGCAGAATATCGATTGTACTAGCACTGCTGGTGGTCTCACTGGCCGAGGCACCCGGGCTCCCACTTGCCTTCCCTGCACGTATACGCCATTTCCCACAAAACTTTCTAGACTTGTAGAGTCCTCTATGACAAGATCAAATTTTATTTGATACTCAAAAGATCAGCACACGGATTTAGCCTAGATATTTAAGACAACGACAACGACAAATAATGCTTACAGTATCGTGATTGGATCCTTTTAATAGTCTAACTAACGGCCTAGATGAGTAGGACGAGTAAAATTGCCTAGTTTGGGAATTCACAGGATATATATTTAATCTCACACTTAGGATACACCTCATGCGCAGAAACGCCTGGCTTTACGCTGATATAAATGTGTGAAAGACTCAATTGGTAAATTGTATTTATGAATTTATGTATTTAAATAAATAAAACTGATAATACTTAATAAAATAACACAACAGAGTCTTAAATAATTTTGAATTATTTATACGCAAACATTAAATTAAGTTGAAGATGAGTTTGATAATGGAATTTATGTATTCTAGGACACTGTTTGCGTTTGAACAGAAGATTACTTAGTTTCCCGATTGATATTTATGCTGTCTACATTTATTTTAGCATAAAATATCAAGTATTAATCACAAAGTAATGAGCAGATGCTACCGTTTCTTGCGAAAACCCTTGCGATAGCCTTTGCCAAACCATCCAGGATTTTTGGCAGTTGATGTTGGTGTCGAAGTATCTTCAGATTCGGTGATTTGTTCAATACTACTCTCATGTTCATTTTCACCCAATGTTACTTCGTTAAGCACACGATCATCATCATCAAGATGATAATAAAGACAAGTTGGAGATCCTTCATTGTCCATACAAAACGTACATGTTGGTTTAGGTTTTGATTCTTCAATTATTTCTTGCTTTGTCGATGAATTTTGCATAAATTGATAATACAGTAGTGGTGTAAATTGAGGATAAAAAAACATTGGTGGAAATGGCAAACCCATAGATAAAAATGGTAAAGCGGTGAAAAATGGAGCTGAATAAGCATTTAAATGATCAGCAAGTCCAATTGGTGAAGTGCAGTCTTCTTCCGTTTTTGGCATAGTTCCATCGGCGTCAGAGCTTTTAATTTTATCCTTATTAACATTCAAAGCCTTACTTAAAGTTATTTGAGGCTCTTCTAAAAATGGTTGTGTAGTTGTATTAAGCTCATTCTGCTGCAGTCTTATAGCATGATAAAAAATCGGGTCCTTTACCCGATTATATTGAGGAATTTCTAATCCTAAGTGGTTCATAACCCTTGTCATCACATCATCACACCTTCCATTTATCTTAAGCACAGCACTTTCATCTTTAGGAGTCCATTGGAGATTAACAATATACAATGAACCTCTTTTATGTACTGGCCTATCCATTTGCCACAACCAGGGATATTTTTTCAATACTTTTAAACTGGATCCAAGGCATAAGATAACGTCTGCTTGCTTTGACGCTCGTGTTGCTCCATTCCAATTGATTGGCCATGGTAGATTACCCCGTTCTCCAAAGTGTACAATTGAATCTTGAAGAATAGAGTTGCATTTATGGCACAATCTCCCAGTACTATGTGAATATCTAGCAGTTTTTTCAGTTACATCGAATAATCTCCAGTATTCTCTTGATGGCTTACAATTACGACAAACTTCAACGTACATATTTCCATGAACTTCAGATAACATTGTCCGAGGAATGCCACTTCGAAGATGAAGTCCATCGCAATTTTGTGAGACAATGTACTTTAATATTTTTGCTTTGTAGAGAGCATATAATGCCATATGTGTCAATGTTGGTTCTGCTAAACTAAGATCATGATTTCTGAAAATAGATATTATCAGTATTATAACTCATTTTATCTATTACTACTATTTACTATTTTTGAAAGATTAATCGAAATTTAAATTTACCCAATGTCTTTTCCTTGCTGCATACGTGTCCAAACACCATTAGTACCTCTATAATCAGGAATAGACGCAGCTGTGCTAATCCCTGCTCCAGTATAAACAGTCAATGATGATGCTCTACTGATAGCTGCAGCTAACCTCATACATTTTTCTTCAAAAATATCTGGAGGATCTTCAACTTCCTCCAATCTGGCTTTCACTTTATCCCTTTTTTCTTGCCTATTAACAAACATAATCCAATATATTTTTAAAAACCACTCAAACCTAACAATTAATTTTAAATACTTTTACAGACAATATTGTTTACCTAAGATTAACTTCCTTTACAACATCGCTACAGGAGGACAAAAGGTCGTTTTCTTCAGGAGTTCGGTCAACTTCAGATTTATGCAAGATCGCGGCTACCTGATATAGAAAAAAAGAAACGAAACATATTGGTATGAGTCATACATATTGAAATAATTATAAGTTATTTTTTCTTAGTGGAGTGTACGTTTATAATTTTATTCTTATGAATACATTTATTTCTATACTATACCTTTTTCAGGGTAGCTATGCGTTCGTCTTTAACTTTGAGTGGTTTTAATGTAGCTGAGCGTCGTCTTAAAAGGAATTTATCAGTCGCACCTTCCTCCATCTTTAATCAATATAGATAGTGAATAAGAGCGTCTTGAGGTCCATGAAGTATTCACGTAAAGAAATAACAAGAAATGTTTTCGACAATGTTATCTTCACGATTTATTGATGAAAACTTGTTTATATATAGTACACTATTTTCAATAAAATACTGTAGGCGATTATTTTCAGTGAAGAACGTCTTAAGTTGATCACCTTCACTACTGACCACTGATGAAACACGCATTTCAGAATAATGCACAGATTTGTACAATAAACTGTAGGATCAAAAAGTCTTAAACTCTCTATTGCTTTCCTTTTAAAGTTTTAGGTAACTAATCCACTTAAACCGTAAAATAGACGATTCTCTTTATTTATTTAATCCTCAAAACTGATTATAAAAATGAGCCATATCCAGACACATCATTGATAATCACCGTTTGTTTTGTAACTTCAACAAACAAAACACTCGAGATGAATTTCAGGTGAAATTCTGAGTAATGAGTGACATTATCGACTGGATTACATGCATTTATTTAATTGACAATAGATGACACAGTAAGCCAAAGCTTACAGATTGTGGCTTCAGATTTCCTACTTGACCGATAGGGTAAGCTGATCTCGGGCCTCCTAAGTGACTTTACCATAGAATATTGTCTTACCTATAGGGCTTCTTGGTAAGACAGTGTGTATGTACTCTTTGAGACTTTACGCTCTCGGTTTGTGCGGTGGAAAGCCGAAGCTCTATGTCAACGGGAATTGAGTAGGTAATAGGGAAATTATTGTAAACAAATACAAAAGAATGATTTAATCATCGAATACTATAATCAAGAATCTTTGTGTATTTCTCATTTTTCTAAAATTTAGAATAATAATTTATCCATGTATATATATATATATATATATATATATTATTTGAACTTATAAATTAACGGTTAAAATCAAAGAATGTATTTCATCTTTTGCTGTTTTCTACATGATGAGATTAGATAAAAAAATTAAGAGTGATATGAATCATAGATAACAATAATGGAAATACATAAGGCTGAGATTAATGCTACGGTGAATACAACCATGGAAATTTCATTGTATACATCTAGGGCGTGCTTATCCTGTTATCTTGTATTTGTTAGCGATAAAGTTTTAACGAAAGCTTAGTGCTGATGAAGCATCAGGTACAATTCAACCTGTTCATTTAATCTCATGAAAAGAATTTGAATCAATTAATTCAAAGATATATTGTGATTTTAAAAACTCTATACGGTTTATTTTATTAAATGATGGTGACAAAAAAAAATCTTGCAGCAGTGCTGGAGAGCCAGATTGGGTGTGTTAAATATACAATATTTTCTTTAAATGCTGTATTATGGGTGAGTGTATATAAAATTATAAAAAAAATTACATATTATAATTGAACATCATTGTTATTCATTAAAATGTATACAGATTTTGGGAGGAGGCATGTTTGGATTAGCAGTTTGGCTACGAGTGGAACCAGGATTTCAAGAATGGGTTGAAATGCTAAATATGAGTGATTATTATACGGGAATTTATATCTTAATTGTTACATCAATTGCTGTAATGGTTCTTGCTTTTTATGGATCTGCTGCTGCTCTTATGGAACATACTCTACTTTTATATATTGTAAGATTTTTTTTTTTTTTTAATATATTAATAACAATGAATATACAAATCATAATAATTATAATTAGTTTCTTTTTTTATAATAATTAAATAAAGTACCTTCCTTTATTTGCAGAATATTGGTCTCCAAGTTCTTTTTTTCATTCTTGGGTTGGCTGGGGCTGCGGTGCTCTTAGATTACTCAACATATGATAGTCAGATTCAACCGATTATTCATCGGTCTATGACTACACTCATTATGAACTCTCATCAACCGCGAGCTTCACAAATTCTAAAAATAATTCAAGAAAACGTAAGTTAATTGAAATTAACTTTCATTATATTGACGTAAAAAATGGAGTTAAACAAAATAAATTAAAGTTGAATTTTTTTCTCAGCGTATAATGAAGACGCTGATAATGAAATGTTTCCATTCAGTAGAATAAAAATAAAAAAAATACTCTCGTAGAAAATTGATTTAATTGTTAGTTTCTTCATACCAAAAAATCAGTTTCAAAGTAATAATTAAGCTAATTATAATAATTATCACTTGTTGATTATTTAATTGTGTTCATAAACAATGTAACCGGAGTATTTCATCGGTTATTAATTAAACTTTCTTCATAACGTAATACACCAAGTACATAATTAGTTATATTCTTGGATATAATAGTTAAGAAAGATCATGTACTTTTAAGAAAATAACATTTTTATTATGATTAAATTTTTTTAGAATTTGTTTTGAATAAAATAAGTTTAAATTCAAATAAATGTTAATTTTTTTGTAATTTTTTTTTTTTAAAAGATTGGTTGCTGTGGAGCAAGTGGGCCCATGGATTACCTCGATCTTCTAAAGCCCCTTCCTACTGAGTGTCGTGATACTGTAACCGGTAATGCCTTCTTCCACGGCTGTGTCGATGAATTAACCTGGTTCCTCGAGTCAAGATCTGGATGGCTTGCTGGTCTTGCTCTTGCACTCTGCATGTTACACGTAAGAAAACATATTTCATCATCATTTTCTTTTACATTAACTTCTCTTATTTTTTAATATGATGATTTTTATCAATTTTATTTACAATTATCATCAATCTCTCAAGTTCTCTTGCATTGCTGTGAAAATTATCGTTTTTACATTTCACTAATAATTACCAACGAGTAAATAATCGTTGAATCGTGAACTTTTAAACGACCTATTGATGAAAAAAATACTGTGATCCTTTCACTAAACCTATAATTCAAGTAATGACTCACAAACAATGATAAAAAAATTATTTGTAAACTTTACTACAGGTGGTGCAGGCATCTTTATCATTGATTCTTATCCAAGCAAAACAGAAGGAAGATGAGGCAGTAATTTACAAGCGTTAAGGAAATTTTTTTATTTATTAAGTAATGTGAAGTTCAACATTTTAATTTCTATAAACTCAAGAAATGGTACTGATTCCTCAATAGATTAATTTTTTACCAGAGGATGTTAACAGAGAATGAAAGAATGTTACTTATTTAATATGCTAAACCACAAGATCACCTAAAACAACTTTTAGTGTAATTATAATCTTTTTATTAAAAAAAATTATAATGATAAAATTAATCATCATTATTACATTAAATTTGAATCGAAGTATTTTGATGACATTTGTATGTTTGTATGGATTAGTATTTTTGTTATTGCTATTATTAGAATTATATTAATTATTTATAAAAATTTTATAATGTATTTAATGCCGTTTTTCATTAAACAAGTAACTTATATCACTATAAAAGAGTTATGGAAATTTTATTAATAAATTGAGAGTATAAGTTCCCAAAATAGAACGTTTTTATTTTAGTTTTTTTTTACATATTATACAACCGGCCTTGTTAGGAATAAACAGACACCCTGTATACTATAAAAATTATTTTTTAAAAATTTTATACAAAATATTATTTAATCATTTTTGCACAATAAATACATATTTATTACAATATAAAAAGATGAACGAGAATATATCATATACAGATTAGGATCGCGTTTAAATGTTATTATTTTGTAATATAATAATTGTGTAAACAAGTTAACAAAGGTAGCAGAGGTGCTAGTTTTAGAGGTCATACAAAAATGAAACCGTACATTCCATTCGACACGGAAAAAAGAAAACATGATTCAGTACTGTGCTTATATTTAACTTAATTTTTATGAAAATAATTTCTAATTGAAAGATTACTATGTAATACAGTACTCAGTCATATTTTTTTTTTTTCTGCGTAGATTAACATCATTACTTGTATCTTTAATATTTTTCAAGATTTTTTAATCACCTAGTTCATGACCAAAATAATGAACAATTATAGTTTGTCTTATTATATTTTCAATGATTTATTTACAAAAATTCTAAAAATAAGATAAAGTATCAATAAAAATAATTTATTTACAATAAAAATATACTTTCTTTTTTCAACTGGCTTAGAATACTAAAATTATTATTAATTATTAAGGTAATTAATAAAAAAATTATTATCGGTAAATGCAACAAAATCTTAAATGATCGACATAATCTTACTATTCTCCATTTGTTTCCATTATTTGAATGGAATTATGTTTAGTTACCCAACATATGGGAATGCCGGGAAACCCACAGGAGGTCCGAAATAGCCCGGATATGATGGAACCGTTGGCTGAAGAGGAATCGTTGTAGTTACATAAGTTGTGATTTCCGTTGGGACAACTCGAGTTGAAAAGAGTGTAGTGTAAGCTGTCTTAGCACCAAAGGTAAGTTTAAGAATTCTAGAATCTGACACTGTAGCCAAAGTCTGAGTGATTATAGGTGCACTGGTAATAGTAAATTGCGGTTGAGGAGGGAAAATTGGTACTGGTGGTACAGGAGGCACTAAAGGTGGTGAAATAGTTGAAGTTCTAACCTCATAAGATGTCTTTGGAACAGTTGCAACAGGTCTTGTTAATGTAGAGTAAACAGTATTGCCGTTATTTACTAAAGGAATCACGTGAGACTCGTACAAAGTTTCCAAAACTATTATTGGTCGAGAAGTTGTGATAACTTGAGCTCCTGGAGCGGCTTGATTAAAATACTTGAGTAAAGCCAACTGTTGAGCTTGTTCTGGAGTTAATTGAGATTCAGGACTCGATGTTGATACCTCTAATTTACCACTTGATGCTTTTTGAGCTGATTTAAAACCTTCTAAATCAGAATTATCCGAGGATGGAACCAAAACTCTTTTAGGAATATCTTCATCATCGTTTTCATCGTCACCAAAGTCTAATTCTAAGTGTAATTCACTACCTGCTTCATCCAACTTTGAATTAAATTCATTCAAAGTTTTTGACGGAATGAACTGATAAATCTCTGATGGTGGTAATGTTTTGATTGCTGTTACCATGCGTGCTATATTATAAGTTTGAACTAAAGTATGTCTAGTTGTATTTCCTGCAGCTACCACTGGCAATAAATATGTTTTTAATAATGTTTGAGTTGTTGTAAATGTCTCTGTTAATGTTTCTAATGGTGGAGTCATTTGTCCTGACTCAAGAGTAATAGCTGGTAGTGTTGCTATTGATGAATCTAACGGTAATGATGATTCATAAGCTGCTCCTGTGTTTGCTAAGATATTTTCTGTCAATGGTTCTGTAGGTGTTGATGAAGGTGTCGTTGGGTCTGCTGTTGCAAATGATTTCTTTAATGTTGATGTCACTGTAATATAACGAGTATTTTTCATAGTTCCAACCTGTAAAAAAAAAATTTATGTAAATGATTATTCATAAAATATTAAAATGAAAAAAATTATAGATTGTAGGAAGTCAATTATTTAATGCTTACTTGGAAAGTATAAGGAGTTTTAATTGTAGCTATCTCATAATAAATATCATTCAAGTCTGAGACAGTAGAAATTTCCACATTCAAAGTTTCCGCAGGAAGAATAGCATCAACTTGATCGCTCTGATCACTTGTAGAATTTACCTGTTCCGACTCACTTGAATCTAATTCATCATCTACTGGCACACCTTCCGAAACTGAAACCTTCTTCTGTACAACCGGAGGAGATAGTGATTTCTCTTCCGTTGTAGATGTAATCGCTCCATCACTTGTAATGACAGTCTCTGGAGTAGAAACTACTTTTTCCTCATCATCAATGGTTTGCTTTCTTATTGCTATTCGTGGTTTTGGAGTTGTTTTATAAGACCAACGACCTTGGGTTCGTGGTAACTTGACTTTTGGAACTCCAACTGGATTAGAATTTTGTTCAGACTTTGGTCGGTTCAATTTCGGAGATGAATTTAATGGACGAAATCCACTTCTTCGACGAGTTGTAGGTGGTTCTGATGTTGTCGTAGTGACTGGACGATTTCTAAACATGAAAAAAAAAAAAATAATAAAAAAGTGTTTTTTTAATTAATGAGATAAAATAAATAAGAAAAAATTATAATTACTTGAAACTGGGCCGTAATGTTGTTGGTCGATTTTTTTCATAATTTTTAGGTTGTTGAAAACTTTCAATATTATCTTGATCATCAGAAATCTTATTTTTATATTTAGGGCGTACTCCATTGTTTAAAGAAGGTCTTCGTGTTACTTTAACATTGGCTCCTGTAAAAAATAATTAATTAAAAATTTATTATTATTAAAAATTAAAATGGTTTTAAAATTGTAAATCAATTTATACCTGAAGGAGCACTAAATAGGACTTCAAGGGGCAATGAAGATTCCTCTTGTTGCGTAGGAGTTGGTTCCAATTGTGGCTTCAACTTTCCATGCTGAGGTCCAATAGTCTTGAGTATTTTTTGTGTATTTGTCGGACGTATTTTAATATTGTTATCTAAATGACCTTGTGATCCTGGCTTAAGTATCCGGGAAGTGCTTTGAAGGACTTGGGCATATTTTCCATTAATATATGTACCAATCACGGATGTTTCATGTACTGTTGTCAATCCATCTTTGATTATTGTTCCACCCAATTTTGTCACAAGACCCGTGGGATTCTCTTTCTCCTTTTTCGGTGATGGCCTAGGCTTTGGCGCATGTTTTGTAGTAGGACTTAAATTAATTACCTATTAAAAAAAGATCTTTTATTTTTAAAAAATACTTAAGATTTTTTAAATTGATAAATATTTGAGATATTTTTAAAATGCTATAAAAAGGAATGATCAAAAAGTGGAAAAAGATAAGAGAATTGATTAAAATAAAGATTTTAAAATAATTAAACTGTTATTATTACGTATTGTGTTACGTATAAGACAAAAAGAAAATGTAATAATTAAAGAAAAATAATTTTTATGACTCGTCATTAATTTTCTTGTCTTCTCTGGCATTGAAAAGCGAAAGGACGAGCGGTTTCTTTTCTCACAGAAATTTATAATAGCAAACTCTATAATTGACAAACCTAGTACAGTTTTTACAAGAATAGAATGCTTGATGAGAATAAAAATAAGTGAGTCAGTGACTTGAATGATAATAAGAATGAAAACGGTATAATATAACGTGATTGTAGTCTTACAACTAACATTCTTATTTTCTGTACCTTATAAGTCTCATCAATTACTTCAGCTGGTTGTTTTGATAAATAATCGTATTCTGGTTCAGCTAAATTATTTTTAACCGCACTCTCGTCTTTAGAGCGGACTTGAACGACCGTTGAAAGAATGGGATTTTTTGTAGCCTGGAAAAAGAAAGTTTTTTTTGTTATAATAAAAGAAGAAATTAAGAAAAAGAATTATGTGCAAATAAGATGTAAATTATAATTGAAAATAATTCTGAGGTATTGTATATTACGTAAAACGACACTTGGATTACTGATGACGAGAAAAAAACGTATTTGTAAGACGATTAGTGGTCGGAATTACGCAATAAATTATGAATCGATCAAGGGAAAATGTTTGTAAACGATCTAATAATTAAAATAATTATCTCTGAGAAGAATATGTAGGGATAAATTTTCATAATTGGAGTAAGTTTTTTTTATCAAATTATCAAAAGGATACTTGATGAATATAACATCAAAAATATGTGAAATAATCCATTAATTTTATTTCAAATTATCAACAATTGTAGAATTATTCCTCCGAAAATGATAAAAATTACGCCATAATACCTATGTATTAAATAGAAAGATAATATTTTACTTTTTGTCAGACAAGGAAACCAGTGATTTTGTTTAATCTATTAACTTCAAGATTAATTCAACGAATAACTGAATTGAATAAAACTTTACTAAGGTTTACCTGAATTTTGGGTTCATATTGTGCTTGAACTATAGAATTTACAACAACTTTTGTATTTTTGATTGATTTTTTCTGCTCCTGAAGAGTATTATCATCACCTTTGTGTGTCTTACTTGGTTGAATATCAATATTTTTTTTGATGATAGCTGAAGGTTTTGTTTGAATTGTTGATGTTATCTGTTTCTTTTCACCTTCTGTAACACAAATATTTTTTAAATTAAATTCCGTAATATTGTTTAGACCTTGAACAGGTTGGGTTGTTTGGGTACGTTGCTATTTTGCTGTATCATTTAACTAAAATTTTAGATTAGGCGATATTATAATATTTTGAAGTTCAACAATAGATTTACAACATCGAGGTTCAACTGACAGTAATGATTGAAAAATAAACGTAGTCAGACATCACTTGGGTATTATATTAAAAGAGAAACGAAGGCGTGAAGACCAATGATTACGAAAGATGTCAGGGTTTCTGGTTGAATCATTCATCAGTTCTAGACAATCAATTTCCACTTGAAAAAAGTTATGTAGGTATGAAGTATAATTGTATTAATTTTTGCAAAATCGATCACTCATAAAATGAGGACAATGAGTGTAAATTAACCATGAATCCATTTTCGGTTTTTTCATTGAAATTTTTTGCTGGTTTAAAAATATTTATAATGGTGCATTGTCCGCCCAAGAATGGAATTCTAATTGAAAAACAGGATTGGTAAGAAATGCAATAAATTTGATTGATACATATTTCTTATAGTCAATTCCAAGAAGAAAATTATAATAGAAAATTGATTATGTCTTGATGATAATGTTAATTATTCAATCAAGATTCAGAATGGATGTAAAAGAAGTTTATAAAAAATTTACTGTTATTGAATAAAGTTAAATTAAATAAATTTATCGTAGGATTTGCAAGATAAAATATTTTCCGACGTTTAGAATTGAATATATAATCTGAAAAAACCAAATTAAAAATGGAAATCAAAGCAAATAATTCGTATCAGACGTCATTCAAATAAAAAAACTAAGTCTGTCTTATTGAATTAATTCTGGTATGTGATAATTAACTCTTCGGAACAAGTCAATGTCATCGGACAACATTAGTACTAAAAAATTCTTAATTCCTGGTCCCAACAAATAAAGATTTCTTACCAGGAGGAGCACTATGGGGACTAAACACCATCACAGTATTCCCAATAGTTGTAGTAAAATCGAGGAAACCATAAACAGTTTGAGTTATTAAGTCATTCTTGATTGCCTCGGCTCCAGGTTGAGTTTCTATGACATCAACAACTTGATTATTATTATTATTATTTCCATTACTTTGACTTCCACTACTAGCTTTGTTTGCTTGACACCAAATTCCAGCAACTAGAAAAATAAAAGATTTTTTACATTAAACCAAGATTATAAATATTTGGAAATAAATACTATAAAAGAAAGGTTTAAAAATGAATTTCCTCACCGCAAGTGAAAAAAATGAAAGAAAATAAATATTTTGACATCATGATTGTATTTAATTGGCTTTCATGGTACGATGAAACATGAATTGAGTCTAGAACAAAAAAGTTGAAGGAAATAAATTATACATAGATGTAAAAAAATATTTTTCTATTTACTAACATGATATGTCAAGCATAATAATTATATTTCAATTCTTGTTTTTACAGATAATCATTATAAATATTAAAATTGATTCTGAGGCTCGTGGGAATAATCAATCGTTCTAGAATAATTTATTCTATTAGTGCAATAATTAATATAACCATAATTATTTATCAAATAGTACTTATTATTATCATTATTATTATTATTATTATTATTATTATTATTATTATTATTATTATTATAAAAATAATAAAGACATTTGTTAATATACATATGGATTAAAAATTGGAGAAATACAAATAATAAAAATCGATTTGTAGATGGAAAATGAAAGCGCAAGCCTTTTTCAGGTGAAATAAGAGCACAAACGATGAAACCTAAGTCATGAGCACGATTTGAGCCTTTCACTCGCGTATTTTATCTCACGTTATTGCAACAGTTTCTTATATGTATACCTAACTCTGTAATACATTTTCTAATATTATTAAGCCTTGTTTCCCTTGTCTTACTTATAAATCCTTAATTTATTCTAGTAATTATTTCATTCTATTATATTTTTATATACCATTCTCTTCATTAAAAAAAATACTTTCATCTTTGTTTTAGTAATTAACCGAATTATTTTTGGTTATTTAACACTAAATCTATCATGATATCAATGAGAACTTCTAAAAACAACATTACGTCGAATGGGAAAATTAATTTCTAATATAGGAAGTTTTTTCTCATTTGTTGGATTACTTCAACCAAATTAAATACTAAGTGTTATGGAAAAAAAAATATAGTATTTTACGGTCTAATTACTTGCTTACGCTTCTCAGTTAACGTATGTGGAAAGCAGTCTAGTATGTGTAATTCTTTCATTTCAAAAAATTTTATTTACATTGGATAATCATTTATTTAGGTTGTTAGAACAATTTATTAAACGTCGAATTAGCCGTTATTTTTGTATTGTAATGTTTAATAGTGAATTAAGTTTATTAGCATTGTATCCATCTTTCACGGGTCTCCATAATGTCGCCTGCTGATTATCGTTTATGTTTAATTCATAAATAAGAAGAAGGTTGACGTACCTTTTACAGAAGAACATGAAAGAGAAAAAATAAAAAAAAAGAAAGAAAAATGAATAAATTTAATAAAGAAAAAAAATATATACATACTTTTTAGCAGATTAGATAGAGTAACAATTTATTGACATGTCTTAGACACCAGGTAGAATATTTTTATTAAAGGAAAAAAGACAACAACTTATTGAAATACAAGGTAGTCAAAGTTTTATTCGAATTCTTGTTAATTTTTTAAAGAGATTAATCGGTTATTTATGCAATTTAATTCTTTAATTACTTATAAGGAATAATCGAATATTAAAAGAAAGGGATACATATATAGAATTTCATATCTGTATATTCAGAAATACAAGCCATGAAAATGATTGTTTTTGTTGATTTTCATTCCTTTTGAATCCTCCTACGACACAACAACATCGACATTCCTCTCTCAGTTTATTTTTTCTTTTGATCTTCAAGTTGTCCTTCGAGAAGTGTCTCTTTATATCCTTAAAATATACCTTGTGTCGTATCCTTCCATGAGGTTAAAGATCGGCATTTCATTCAGAAGAGAAAAAGAAGTATTTAAGAGATGTTTTCTTTACTTGTTTTCTTTTTGCTTCTTTAAATTTTTTTTCAGATAATTCACCAATAAAAGACGACATTTTAAACATCATTTCCAGTCATAAAGAAATCATTATAAATATTGTTTCTTCATTTCTTCTTGCGAATTTAAATAACCTTATGTGGAAGTTACTAAATTAGAAATTATTCTCTTATTGGACAGAATTAATTATCTTAGTGAAAGCCTTTAATTGAATATTTGAAGTCGTGGCAATGAATTTCACTATTTATCATAATAAAAAAAAATTTTACAATTCAATTAAAATAACAAACAAACGTATTTGACATTGAACATTAACAATTAAGTAAAATAAGAAAAAATTCGTTTATATTTTTAAATTTAAAATGAAAGTGATTAATTACATTTTACAATTGAAAAAAAATATAATTCATCATTCAAGAAGACAAATAGTTATATTCCTAAAAAAAGTCATTTGAATAAAGTTTTTGAATGAAATTCAAAGCAAAACATTCCACTATTAATCATCATAGTAAATTTAAATGAGAATAATTGGAATTTAAATTATTTCCTTGAGTCCTTGAATTGATAAAGTATGAAATCGAGTTTACTTGATCGTTTACGTGAATGTGGAGTAGAGTTCAAGTAAAAAATGAGAGAAAAACTTAATAAAACTCCTCTATTTCACGTATCTATATAATCTCGGTATGTTTTTTGTCCTGTCAATTATTGCTAAAGTTATATTACATACCATACATTACATTTTTAACTTTCTAATAGATCGTCACGTGTCTTGATTGAGACAGTGATCTGGTGAACACGTGCGAATTCCTTTTTTTTCTCATTTCTCTTGATCAGGAGACCTGATCAAGGACTCACGTGTGCATACTTTATATATCATAGGATAACTTGATTATATTTCCTTTACATTGAATTCATTAAAACAAATAAATTTTTTGAAAGTTACTAATAATTATTTATTGTCGTTCAAGAACGATTTTTCACACAATTTAATAAGATAGTAGATAGTATGTATGATAGTGAATACAAAGAAAAAATAGAATGAACAATAAATCGACGACCGAAGAAATTAATAATCAAATTATTCAGTAAATCGGAAGTAAAATTTAATAAAAACCTGATTTACAATCCAGGAAGAAAAGTAACTTTCGCGTAATTACAATCCTAACATGACCAAACGAGTTTTTTTATGTTTTACACTCGATCAAAGAATTTCTGTAAGTATTTAACAAATATTTAAGCCATTTACAATAACTCAAACAATTAAAAAAAATTTTATAGCCTTTCCTAATGTTTATAACACTTCAATAATTTCATTTTGAACTTATCAAAATCATAAGATGCTTTTAGATGATAAAAAATCTATTTATTACACTATTAAATTAAAATTATTCTAACAATTACTTGTAAACGAATTTTAAAAAGAGTAAAAACCATACAAGCAATTAATTATTTATCCAACTCCATAATAGATATTAAAAACTTTTAATTAATAGATAAAAATTTAGTTTCATTAGAATGATTTAGTGAAGACTTTCTAGTTTTCTGATTCCTCTATTAATTGTATAATTACAAAGTAATATTGATTAGCAATTAAAAATATTTTTCCTTATTAATGATTGATTAAAGCAATATATTAAATTTTAATATTAATATTCATCCAATCTAGAGTATTAAAAAAGAACTCTCTTTAATTCTAAAATATGAAAATTATTCATTTACTTGTATAACCCTATATGTTCTATTTAATATTAGATTATGTTACACTAACGTAATTTATCGCGTGTATCGTGTGCAAGGAAGCTCATATGAAGCAGGCACGTGCGATCTTTCCCATAGAATCATACATAGGTGTGCACAAACATTCATTCGCACAGCTTTCCAATCTCTTTTCAAACACAATACTACCTTTGGCTACATCTGTATGTAATTCTAAATCTTTCCTCACTTTATTTTATTAGAAAACAAAATATCTTAGCTAAAATAAAGACATTACTAGACATTTAATTATTTGCAGTGAAAGTCATTGAATAAAACAAAAATAAATAAGAATAAAAGGAGAAGTGAATTGAAAATTTTTTTCTCAATACTAAAGGCTCTTCATGAATTTTTTTTCTAATGAGTAAAGGTAACTAGAGGTCGTGGGAACGTAAATGGATAGCAAGATAGATTAATATGAAAATGTTAATGTGAAGTTCACTTTTCATTTTACACCTATTATGACCTATTGATTTAGATAAAAATTTTTCTTTTGGTCTTAATCTTCTTTTTAACCAAGCGACCTACAAATTTTTTCAACTTTCTCGACAAAGTTAAAAGTAATACAAGTAATACCAGAGTACTCTCCATTTACAAATCATACCAAAAGACATCTACTATAATTAGAAAAAAAAATTCTAGATTTTATTTAACAATAATAAGAGTTCATTCAAATATTTAATCCGATGACTGAAAAAATTAGAGCCAATGATTTATTAATTGAAAAGCTTAACGTATAAATGATTATTATTATTAGTTACAAGTAATAATGTTATATTTGCTCAAGTAATTAATTATAGAAATATTGGACAAAAAATTTTATTAAACAATTAGCCTTAAGTTGTAACAAATAATGATTCTACTCACGTGCTATGATTTTATGATAAGTCAAACTAAAAATTCTAATGAACAGAAACAACACGCGAGTTGAATCAACACTAAACACTTACATTCTTTGATGCCCGTCTTGAAGTGACTGGAAGCCGGACCCAAAGGTCTCCCTCTCTTCCTGAACCTCCACCGACGAGGCTCTCTCAGCTTCTTGACATTCTCTACGATCAATTCCCCATACCTGACTTTATTTTCTGCTTTCACTTCATGCTCTTGTGTTCAAGTAATACGACAGAATAAGTAATAATAATTAACTACGTAATAATATAATGAAATAAATCGCCTCTTGTTGTAAAAACTTTTCATCCCCTATCTTGGAGGTTATCTCGAATAATTGGTATTCCATCATTTTTACGACATCAAAAATCAATCATACTTGTAAGCAATTAATCTATGCCTTTTATAAATAAACGACGCTAGATTCAATCAACAATCAATAAATGCCGCCATTTCCAATTGAATTTAAAAAAATTGCAGATAAAGTAGATTGTTTCTACAACAATAAAATTATTATTTGATGATAAAGAAGAATCCTCGTGCCAAAAATAAAGTTTGAGGTTATAATTTGGAATAATTTCATTCACAGTGATTAAATATAATTTACGTTTCATGTTTCTTTAATATTACTTAAATAGTATTGAATCATGGAGAATAGATTTGTAAATGAACGAAAATGTTTAAGGAAGCAAAAACGAGCGCAACATAGATTAGCTAGAGATATGAACATTGAATGTTCTGAAGAACCAACACAAAATTTGGTTATATGCAACGTCGGAATTGTAACAGGACTTCAACAGGAATTTTTGGAATCAATTTTATTAGAAATAACTGAAAGCTATGAGATTATTATGCCTCTCAATAAATCTTATTGTTTTATAAAGTTTGATCACAAAGAAACAGCTAGTAAAGTTTACAATTATATACATGGGAAAGTCATTGGAGATCAAAATATTCCGTTATATTTAACCTACTCTAAATCACTCCCAGATATTGAAAATGAAGAGATAATTAATGAATTACCTCGAGGATTGAAATTAATTAAAGATTTTATTACGATTGAGGAAGAAAATTTACTTTTAAATTCTCTCAAGTGGAATGAGAATGACGAAATTAATTTAGAACTCAAACATAGAAAAGTAATGCATTTTGGCTATGAATTTGATTACAGTACTAATAAAGTTGATCCTAGTAATCCAATTAAATCTATTCCAAATGAATATAAATTTTTACAAGAATTGTTTGAAAAAAACAAATGTGGAAATCATGTATATGATCAGTTAACAATAAATAGATATCAGCCAGGACAAGGTAAGTTAAACTTAATTTTTTCTTATAGTACATTTGATATGGTAAATAAAATATTTTTAATTAATGAAATAAATTTTCTAGGTATTCCACCACACATTGATACTCACAGTGTATTTGAAGACCCAATTTTATCACTTTCATTAGGCTCTGCATGTGTTATGGACTTTAGAAAGGGCCAACAAAAAATTCAAATTGTATTACCTGCTCGCTCACTTCTCATTATGTCTCAAGATGCAAGATATGCCTGGTCTCACGGAATTTGTCCACGAAAAAAAGATGTTATTAAAGAAGAAAGTATAAAAATTTTACCAAGGGGAACTCGTACTTCTTTTACATTCAGAAAAATTAGAACAACTGGTTGTGATTGTAAGTTCAAAAAATTTTGTGACTCAAGGCTCACCAGCAATTCCATTGATAATTCAAGAGCTTCTCAAGTTGAACTATTATATGTTCATGATGTTTATGAAAACATTTCCAATCATTTTGACGAAACAAGACATAAACCTTGGCCAAATGTATCTGAATTTTTGGAATCACTTGAACTTGGTAGTATTGTCCTTGATGTTGGCTGTGGAAATGGGAAATATTTATCACATAAGCCAGGAATTTTTAAAGTAAGTTTATAAAAATATAACTATATTATTACTAACTATTATTAAGAATGAACAATTATTAACTAATTAAGTTATTTATTTATTTATTACAGATTGGCTGCGATCGAAGTTCAAACTTGACGAAAATATCGCGAAATAAATCTTTTGAAGTCCTAATATCTGATTGTCTCCAATTACCATTTAATTCCAATTCCTTCGATGCAGCTATAAGTATAGCCGTAATTCATCATTTATCAACTCACGAACGGCGAAAAGAAGCTTTTTTAGAACTCTTACGAGTCTTAAGACCTGGGGGTAGATGTTTAGTATATGTTTGGGCTAAAGAACAGAAAAGAAACGACGAGAGTTCAGTTTACCTTAAATATAATTCCAATAAATGTAAAGAAGATAATTTCAATAACTTTCAACAATTATTCCAAGGTTTGGAACTTCCAGTTCATGAGAATCGCACTAATTTTCTACACAATGACGTTCTCGTTCCATGGAAGAGAAAAACAGGGGGTCAATTTTTGCGATATTATCATGTTTTCGATGAAAATGAATTCCAGAACTTATGTTCAAGTCTTCCGTACTCTAAAGTACAGGAAATATATTATGATCAAGGGAACTGGTGTACTATATTACAAAAAACATGATACTTGAACAAATAAGTCATCAAAAGCCATTTACATTTCTATTCGAAATAATTATACTAACTAAAATATATTGTATATAAAAAAAATTTTTTTCTTGTAAAATAATTGAATAAAAAGACCTTGTAGATCTTTATGTAAATATTCATATACTAATTTATTTTTAAAACATTTTTCTTAAATCAATCCTGTTGATATTCTTTTTTTTATAATAAAAATTAAACTTTATAGCATATACAATAGGAGAGGATAAAATGAATGTATATTATTAAAATGCTCGCTCTGCAAGATGTTCGCATTAAATTATCTGAAATAATTAACTATCAAATTACTCAAACATGATCATAAATAAATATTTGTTTGAAGTTTTAACAAATGAATGAATTAAAATATTAAATAACATGCATTTTTTTATGATTTAAATTTATAATAAAGTTGATGAAGTTGTTAGACGTGGAGTTATAAATCTTTAAATTGTTCGTTAAAATGTAACTCTTTTTATTCTGTATGATTAATTAAGGTAAGCGTAGACAAAAACTAAAATTATGGGATCTTTAGTAAAATAATATTTGGACGCATAGTATGTTGTTATTTTCAATTTTTTTTTCAAAAAGTTTATTTTATTTCTAAGAGATATACAAAACAAACATCTCCTTTGCAACTATTATAATCCCCTAAAATAATGCAGGAAATATTTTAATCATAAGTTGTTTTTTAAATATTAAGCGTTTGTTGGTTGTTTATTTATTCATTATCTTGTAATTCCATCGAGTGGATGCCCTTTTTTTTTATTATTATTATTGTTATTATTATCATTATATTTCATCATATATAAGAAAAATAATAATAATAATAATAATAATAATAATAATAATAATAAAAATTATATTTGATTTCATTCTCGTTTTTCTTCTTCTTTTATTTAATTTATTAAGGACATTTTATGACGATTACCTTTAATGAAATTAGATTTCTGTAAATTAGTATTAAAATATTAGTTTTATTTATATTCGTGTCATATAAGCGTTTCTTTCAACTTTGGAAAAAAACGAATTTTGGAAAATTATAAAGTAGGACGGGAAAAGCTGGAATCCTTTTATTATCTTTTTAACTTAAAACTAAATTTTTTTTTCTTTCTACTGCTGCATTTCCGTCTGCTTTTGAGTCAATATTTTGCAAGAAAAATTATTCTATCGTTAAAAAAGAAATTTTTATTTATTTATTTTGTTTTAATAATAAGAATATAATTTAAGACTTTGTACACCAACTAGGAAGTTCTAGGAATGTCAATTATACAAGAAACAACAATAGTTAATAACATTATCGCTGTACATTCGGGCAAACGACTCTTGGCAGCATTTTAAGTGATTTTGCATGAATTTTTCGGTAATTGATTTTCATTAAATGTAATCATGTATATTTTTTAATTAATTATTTATTTTACTGTAAAATTGTACTTTTTATATATTATTAATATTAATTAATGAAAACAAAGGATGAACAGTGATGAGAACTTTAAATGTATTTATCCATTTAATATTTTTTTATCATTTCTACTCTCATCAAATGTAATTACACTTGTACACTTATTTAAAAACACTCATTCACATTGACAAAAAAGAAAATTTACCAGCCATCAAGTTTTTTACATTTGAGTCTATGAAGTTGTTAATTTTTGAAAGTATACAAATATTATTAAACTTTGACTGGTTCATTTTTTTACAAAAGAATTTTCTAATAAAAAGGTTTTCTATCCCACAAAAAAATGTATCGACTAAATTAATTTATATATATCCTAACTTTTATTTAAAAAGTTTCACTTAGAAAAACTGGAAAACTTAAAGAATATATTTGAGAAAGAAAAAAAAATTCAAGTACTTTAATTTATACATATATTCTACAGTTGAAAGAAACTGAGAAAAAGAGAACGATCACACCTCGGGCAACTCGTTGGTTATTTTTCTTTTAATTTTTATCAATCAGCATTTTCATTAATTGATTTGTGGTCTTCTCTCACAATCGTTTATTACAATATTTTTTCCTGCTTGTTTTGTTTTCAATATTATTTTGTTTTAATTATTATTATTAATATTATTATTATTATTATTATTATTATTATTATTATTATTATTATTATTTTGTTTTACTTTTTTCATTTATTTATTATTATCATTAGTATTCCCTCTTACTATCAATCAATATGTTAAAATACAAATGTCCACACAAACCACTCTCATTCATTCGTTCTTACAACTTAGTTCAATATTACGTTTTTTTTTGTTTTTTATTTTTCACAAACATACAAATTTATTTAACTTTAAAATAGAAAAAAATCAATGTATGAGGGAAAGAAATAAACTGGACGGGGAGCAGGAGAATGTAAAAATGTGTCAGAAATAAATGGATAAAATACACAAAGAGAAAAAGTGAAGTAATATTCAAGTTATCGTTAGTCACACATATTTTTTTCCTACACATGTAAGTACGCTCACTCTAAGGTAATGGTATGTACAGTAGGTGAGACTCTTACGCGTTGTCTGTCAAAGGAATGAGGTTCTTTTTCCAATTTTTCCTTAATTAATCAATTAATTAATTAATTAATAATTAGTCTAAAATGTCAATTAGTGGTGGAAAATGGAGGAAAGGTAAATCTCGCTCTCACGATCTCAATTCTCTCCCAACTCTCATTTTTTTTTTGTATTTTTTCATCTTATTTTTTTATAACATTCTTTTTTCTTTCGGTTAATTATTTAAGACGTCCTTCCGCTATTCATCATCCTCCTCAGCATCATCTTCTTCCACATCTTCCTCACTCTCGTTCTTAATCGCATTTGCAGGCGCTCCTACTCCCGGCCCGTCCTTCATTTTCTTTTTGTACGCAGTCATTTCCTTTAATGAAAAGTTTCAATAGTTCCACAATTAACGCCACGGCAGATTTGTGACAACGTTCGACTTTATTTGCAACTTTAATCTTTAACTTTAATCTTAAACGTCTAATTTATATTATCAATAAGTATATAGTTATATATAAATATATAGATTGTTTTGTTCATTATAATTATCAAATTAACGTATGGAATAAAGAAAATAATGAAAGAAAGCTAAAAAAACAAGTACATAAAACTAAAATAAATTTGCTTAAACTACAATGTTATTATTGTTAATTAAGAAAGAATATATGATAATAAAAAAAATCATAAATTGTAAAAATTTTCAGCTTCCTTTCACTTTTTTCTATTAAACTCAATTCATAATTAAATTAATTAATCATAGTTGTTATCAATTTTTTGCTCTTTTTTTCTATTTTGTATGTTTTTTTAATCTAAAAGTTTATCAATCCCGATGAGAATAGCGTTGCATCTACTTCTCAGTGAGATATTTATCGAAATTCTTATCATAAAAATTCTCCCCGTCCTTCCGCCATTTTCTTCTTGTATGCAGTCGATTCCTTTAAAAAAGTTTATGTTCCTCAATTAAAAAAGCATCGCGTTTCATCTTTCTTTATTGTCTCTTTAATATCTTGTAACAATACCGATTTGAATATTATTGATCAAAAAGTCCTTTACTATATTTTTTTTTTATTAAATTTTATCCGATTTAATCTCAATTTTTAATCGATTGAAAACGAATATATATATATATATATATTTTTTTTTCTAATTAATTACTTAATTTGATAATCGAATTTAATTAATTTTCACGAAGAACTTTTTTTTGTCAATATTAAAAATTTTTTCCAATAATTTATGGAGCAAAAGAATGTAAAAAAACGTTTATAATAAAAGAAAATAAGTCAACTGAAAATTTATAAAAAAAGCTTACCCTCTCATATCGTGCTTTGTCCTTTTCTGCCATAGCTTCATATTTAGATTTGGTTTCTGAATCTGCATCAGACCATTTTTTACCTAATTCCTTGGCGATATCACCAACTCCATATTCTGGGTTTAACATCTTAACTTTTCCACGTTCATCATTGCAAAACCAGAAGAAAGCAGACCTATAGAAATAAAGGAAAACCATTAATTATAATTTTTTCAAAGAGGAAAAAATAACTTTAAATAAACAAATAAAATATTCAAATATAAAACGTACAATGATCTCTTGGGCGCATTTGGATCTTTGATGTGTTTGCGTTTCTTGCCTTTTCCTTTTTGATTTTCTCCCTTGGGTGGTGTGTAATTTTGCATTTCTGCATCATATCTTTTCTTATCTTTCTCAGCCATTTCATGGAAACGCTTCTTTTCCTTGTCAGACATTGTCTAAAAAAATTATGGTTGGTTTAGTTTATTCAACTCAATTATTATTAATAAAGCAATTTTATTAGTGATATTAAAGAAAAAATAATTTAATGCCAAAAAAGTGATGTTTTTACCTTCCACCTCATCGCACATTTCCTCGAAAATTCTTGAAAAACAATATTTTCTTCTGGATGCTTTTTCTTATGCTCTTGGCGACATGTTTGAACAAAGAATGCATATGCAGTCATTCGCCCTCTAGGTTTCGTATCTGTTGCTTTTCCTCGCGGCATTTTGTTTATTTGCGCGTTATTCTGTTGAAGATTATTTTGCTGTGGCAGCTGTTGTTGCTGTTGTAGTTGATGCTGTAATGAGTAATAAAAATAAAATAAATCGAGGAACAAGTGCCAATTACTCTATTGAATGAAAGAACTTTTTTTTTTATTTTCTTCTTTCATTATTTGAGTTTATTTTTGTATCATTGTTTAATATTTGCAATATTAAAATATCTCTACAATGTATTGAATTAAAAATATTATATGATATATAAATAACATATACTTTATTATCGATAACGTGAGTGTAATTTCTGGACGTAAATAAAAATTTTTTCCATAATAAAAGAACGCTGTACAATATTACATTCAATATTGTTGTAAAAGGACGATGAATTTTTAAAACATATACATAATATATTCAAGTATGTATAAGATTATGTAATCAATAATCGATCTAAAAAAGTGTAATGTTACAAACTCTGGATATTCTAAAGTTGATACTTCAGTAAAAACAAAAATAGGTGCCTTGAAGATAATAAAAGATAAATAAATAATAAATTTTAACAACTAATCAATTATTGAATTAACTGGCTAGCATGTTAAGAAAATTATTACAAGTCATTGATGAAAGAGTTTTAAAGAAATATATATTTTAACATTTAGCTTATTAAAATAAGTTTGAAAGCTGAATTTCAATGACTTTAAGTTTTATTGTGACGATAGAGTGTCGCTAAAAGCCTATCAATACTCTAATATAATTCAAGGGTTGAACAAAAATGGTTGACGACCTTGGGGCAAATATCTATACTAATATAGATGAGCTAATGTAAAATACAATTTAAAAGTTATTTTAGATTTCATGATTCTTAAAATAAAATCCTGAGATAATTTTGGAGTAAAGTATTGGCAAGTAAACTGACTTTGAATTATTTCCCGAATTAATGTATCGATTAATTAATCAGTGAAGGAATGAATTAGTTTCAAGTATTTTTTTAACAAATTATGAGAAACAATATATATATATATATATATATATATATATATATATATATATTCCATAAGTAAAATAACATAAAAAGTAATTGTGATTAAATAAAAAGTTTTCTAATCAAAAAATTTTTGGCTTTTTTGAAAGCTTATTAAGTTAACTTATGAATTCTTGAAAAATTCTATAAAATATGACTGAACGAAAAGAGGAGGCGGAGGAGAAGTGAATTGCGCGCGGGCACGACCCGGCTTTAACCAGAATCAATAGCGGCCACCGATGGCTGTGCTGAAGAGAAAGAGAGATAGCATCTAAGTAACGGACTGTAGCTAAAAAAAAAAAAAAATTTTTTTCAATATTTTCCAATTTTTATAATTATAATACGGCCAACGAAAATGACTAAATAAGAGCGATGATATTTTCAGGTTTTTCTTTTTTACTTTCACTCAAAGAATGGAACTTTTTGCGTTGTCATCTGCTCCCTTTGAAGACATTTCAAAAGAATGTTTCGACTGGTGAGCCACGTGGAAATTGCGTAGTAGCAACTGCCGCTTTTTTATCTTTATATTTAATGTTTCTTCTTATAAATTTTAGATTAATTTGATTTCAAGTTCAAATCAATGTAAAATAATATTTAGAAAACAATTACTGACTTCAGTAGATAATTAATAAATGATGTTAAGAAATAGGAAAACCTATGATGATATTGAGAGTTTAGAGGCTGAGAGGATAGATATAACGATAGATAAAGAAAAGATGAGGAGGAAAAAAAACGTAGCTGACCCAAGAGAGAGAATAAACCGGTATCTGGAGCCCCGTACACCTTGCTCGTGAGTCTTCGAAAGAGGGAATTTAACCACGAGGCTTAACCAAAGTTGCCCAAATGAATATTAGCGGATTAAGCCGATACGGGAGTTCAATACAAAGTATTTATATAGATTTGGCGGTACTTTTAAGATTAAACCTGAAATACATGTCTAAGCTAATTTTGTAAAACTACGATAAAAAAGAATATCTCAAAAACGCCCTCTTGATAGGACATACCGCGGTCACTTGATTGGACGTTTGTGAAGGCAAATGTTGTCCTTGCATCTGCTGTTGATGAACATTATTCTGTTGTTGTGCGTCCATTACACTACCAGGATACCACCATTGTACACCGGAAGGTGGAGGATTAGGTTGCTGAGAAGCGGCGCCACCGCCAGAACCAGCACCGGAGGTAGCACCAGTTTGCTGACCCATCCTGTAGTCATATCCGCCTCTCATGCAGGTTCCAACAGGCGAAGTAGTCGAAACGGGACTGGATTGTGCGCCGGTGGTAGCAGGGTTTTGAAAGCTGGAGGCCATTTTGTATGAGAATAATTGTTGGGTAGCCGCGGCCGTACTCCTGACAATGTCCTGATGGTGTTGATTCAATTGTTGTTGCGCTGCGGCTGCTTGCTGATTCATTAAGTGTTGATGAAGCGTCTGTTGTTGTTGAGCTTGCTGTTGTGCTTGTTGCATTTGTTGTTGCTGTTGCTGATCAGCATTAATACCAGGCCACCAAGCATTACCAGCGGCTCCATCCTCCCGATTCCCAGGGCTCGACGTTCCCCAGCCACCAGCGGCGGCCGCCGCGGCGACGCGGTGGTGTTCCGACATGTCACGCGCGTCTCCGTCGCCCGATCACCCTGGACGGGACAGTCTCAATGATTTTTATAACTAACCAAAAATACTGAGCATTTAAATAACTAAACTATTCACACAATTTATATACAGACTAATATCGGATGAAAAATGAAAAAAAATGACTTTTTCGGCTTCAACGAAGAAAAACAAAAATGGCTACACACCGGTGCTTAAGGCTACTTCGACCACACCACTGGACACATCCACACGCGCGCACCCTCCCGGGTGTCTCTGTATACACTAAAATATGAACGTATGAGAGGAGAGGACGCTAAGGGGAGGGGGTGTAAAGTGTTTCACGCACTTTTCTATTTCTCTTGCTCTTTCTCTCTCACAGTTGTTCGTCAAGTTGTTACAACGCCACTGTCACTGATGTCTTCTTTTCAACTTTTTTACCTCTTCCACAACACAAGAACTCTTTTAAAATATATGAAAGAGGAAACAGTACTACACTGGATGCGGTCTACTCGACGCTACGCTCAACGGCTCAACGCTCGGTCCGTTCCATGGCCAGACGGGTGGCGGCGAACGGGGAGGGGGTGGCTCGCCCCTTCTTTCTTTCTCACTCACTCCCTCTCTTTCTCAACTTCCCCACTCGCTCCTAAATATTATTCCCCTCTTTCTTCAATAATTTTAATTATTTATTCAACTACCCCATTAAATTTTCATTTTTCAACGCATTTTTTATCTCCCTTTAGATTTTTCTTCTACTCCTTATCGGCTCCGTGCTTCCTCTTGGTCTTCAGCATAAGATCTTTGTATACGAAAATGCTACGTAAGAATCCCGGTTTCAAAACCACAAGCCCAAGCTTTGAGAAAGATAGCGTTAAGAATGAGAGAGAAATAATGTGCGCGCGCATATCAAAATGCTTCTCTCTTTCTCTCACGAGCTTACTAGCCAATCATAAAGAAAGAAATTCAAGTGGGGATAAATTGCAACGTTGCCACACAGTACTCTCACTCGACCGTTCACAAAGAAAAGTTCGATCGTCACGACCAATCGTAGTTAAGTAAAATCAACGAGACGATGGCGGGAGTAAAACAATGCGTAAAACATGACAACGTTGCCTAGAACTAACTAGAAGAAGAAAGAGAACCTTCCTTCCGACTGGTATTTTCGAGACGCCATGAGCGAGAAAGAAAATGAGATTTATTATGAAAGGAAGATGGGAATAAGACATAGAATATGGAGAGACACGAACAGAAAGAGGGTCTCTACCCTTGAATTTACCGAGGTCAACTTTCCAAATAAAATTGAGCATTGAGGAAAAACAACTGTTTACGATTTTTCGTTGGTCATAAAAATATAAACTTTTTCTTGGTGTCCTCCAGTATTCTATATCTTTTTTTATTGATCGAGATAATCATTTAATTTTTTTTTTTTTGTTAATAAGTAGGATTTTTTTTTCATCAAAAAATTAAGTGATCATGTTATTACGTATATACAGATGGAATATTTAGTGATATAAAATTCATGAGAAAACTAATTCCACGAGTAGCGTACTCGAACAAAAAGCAAATTTTAAAAATATGAGAACATCGTTTTTTTCCTCTCTTTCTTCATGATGAAGCCGAAGCAACGGTGGGGAAAATATAGAGGAAGAGGAGAAAGAGAGGAGGAGTAGCGGAGGTGCCAGGCGGGAGCTTGAAGTAAAGGCAACGCGGCGAATCGAAGGGGAAAAGAGGGGAAGAGAAGAAAACCGGGTCCGGGTCAATAAGACGCGAAAGAGGCAGAAAGCAAAGCGGACATTCCCAGGACTAAATAACAAACAAAAATTTGAAGGAAAATTGGGGAAAAAATTTTTAGAATAATCATTTAAAAATATTTACATTAAAAATATTATCTAATATTTAAAATAATACACTTGAAATATAAATAAATAGAAAGCTTAAACGTCAGTGTTAGTACATACATAAATGTTTATAGGATCAAAAAATTGGAAAAAATTAGGCTAACGGCGCTCACAAAGTGAGAGGATTTTCCGTTACCGAGAAAACTATACCAATCGCATTAAAGATTAAACGATCTTGTACGTAATGAGCCGATCTTTCACGACCAGTATTCGAGCGAGAAACAAAAGGTACATAATATGCCCGCGCATATTTCAACACCACTTTCGATAGCCATATTACCTACAAAGACCCCTTTTTTATGTATAAAAATATATGGAAGCATCCCCCTTGCAGTTTATTATTTTTTTTCTTTTCAACATGTGGTGTAACAGTCAGTTGTGTGTTTTAGATTATAACGGTTTGTCTCAATCGAAACGCGCAAAATACTTAATGAGTAGTTTAATATTTTTTTAAGATAAAAATCATGAAATTTAGTGTAGATGATAAGATTTTAGAATTAGTCTGTTTCCACATTTATGTTATGTAATGTAAAATATAAAATAATAAGAATTGATAATAATGAGAGAATACGGAACATGTGGCGCAGTGTAATGTAATTTATAACAGGGGTGGACTAAAGAAAAGGGTCGTTGCTACAGTGCAATTTATTTCTGCTTTGCAGCCGGCTTTTGCACGGAACATTGGACTTACTTATTTTTCTCCGAGAGATTTCAAGAATTCATGGTATATAAGAAAAAATTTGACCTGAACAGGTTAAAATATTCGAAGGATATAGTAGTTTGAAGTTTTACATTCGTAAGGTATTTAAAGATTCAAATATTTAGCATAGCTATTTACTTTGAGACTTAATGATCAGAGTTATCCTAAAATCTTCAGGTAATTGCAATAAATGTACAAACGGATAATAACAACCCAAGGTCCCTTGGATAGGTAGTCCAAATCCTCAGTCACAATGTTACATTGTTATAAAATATTAAACAGAGTTGCCTTTTAGCAATGCGGGTAGGCATATTTTCTCAGAAAATTCAAGTTTAATTTGTAAAAGTATCGGAATGTAACGGTTTAAACCGCCTTAAGTTATTGCGATATGAAAGAAATTTTTTGTTGAATCAACATAGTCTTATAACTTTTGTTAATTATATTCTTAAAAATAAAAATATCGATTACTTATCAATTTTCAATTAGAAATAATGTAAATAAACACAACTATTTTTGAAAAAAGAATGAAGAAAAATACGATAACGTTAAAATTTAATGTCCAGAATCAAGAAAATGATATTTAAAAGAATATATACTCCGGATGTGAATGCACCTGCATAATTGCCGAGGACATTGGTAATGCCTCGAAAGCTGTTTATTGGCTGATGAAAGTGGCCGTTATATTTCTATGTTATTTCGACAATTAATTATTTGTAATTAAATTATGAATATTGATTAAACAAGTTATTGATAGGTAAAAAGTTCAATTTTTCCAAAAATCAACAGAAAAATTGATTATTATAAACATAATCTTAAAATGAAATATTTAAATAAATAATATAATTTTATATTTTTAAATTCTGTTGAACTAAAAATTGATTACTTTTGCTATGTATATTTACTATAAGAGCTTGTCATATTTTTTTAAATATCTAATTCACTAGAAGCAGTGAGTAAACATTTGATTTACAGAAAAAAAAAAAATCTATAAAATAAAGAATAAGTTATCGATTTTCTATAAAAAAAAATGATTTTAAAGTAAATCATAGCTTTAATTTTTAAACAAAGTCACAGATAAATGTTTAAATTTGCAAAAAAAAATCATGTACATGTAGTAATAATATGTATGAGTAAATAAAGAACAATATAAAAGAAAAATTAATTAAGAAAAAAATACTTTGAAATTTTGGCGCGTAAACACTACAGCGTCTCTACCCGCCATTTTGCCCTTCCCCCTCTAACGATGTCAAATATATATGTATCTCAATAAAAACATTATATTTACTACCCTTATTGACCTTAAAAATACTTTGAAAAGACTTTTTTATCAGACACAATTATAAACAGATGACACGAACTATTAAATCCATGGCAAAATGTCGGTTTTTTTATAAAAATTAAAATAGAAAACTATTTTATTTCATACCTTTGTTGTTAAGTTTCACAGCACAATCGGTTAAATTTCACTCGTTCACTGAATAACACCAATAATAAACGAAAAAATAAATAAAAGAAAAAAAAATTTTAATAATTTAAAATTTTTTTTCTGATGAAATAAAATGCTAGAAAAGTAAAAACTTCTGAATGCTTCGTCGCAACGTACGGAAGTCTAATCGTAATTCCGTCGTTCTCATACACTCTTCCCTGGCAACCTCTTGTCCTCCCTCCACAGCGTCGTGAGGAAAAAAGGCCGCCCCTAAAAGCACAGGAAAAAACCGCCCTCGAGCCTTTCGAAAACTTTGGCTTTGTTCCTTGATATTTTCCCGAACATCCGTACTATTATGGTAAAATTTACTCAATCTCTATAAATGATTGCCCAAGCTACAAAGCAACTCGTAATAAGAGGAATATTGTAAAATAAAAAAAAATGGCGTTTTAACAGCATCAAAATTTGCAAAAATTATACTCGAAAACACAGGATTGACTGTCGAAGTAAAATATTAAAAAAGTAGAAGGTTATTTATGGAATCTTAATGGTCAGCATTGACACTTGCGGTTAGGCGGGAAACACTAGAAAAAAAGTAACACGGAATATCTACAAAATTAGCCAACAGCTTGCAACTCGATGACTGAAAGTCATTGAAAAAATGGAGAAATATTAGATTTATAATGTTTAAAATATGGATATTAATGAATAAAATAGATTACTCAAGTATTTAAATAGATAGGGATTAGTGTTATTACATAGCATTATACGTATTCCGTATGCCTATAGCCTTATGCATAGGATAAAGCAACAAACAGGGCAGCCTTGATAGCTGTGTAGCACGTAATGGAGTCTAATGGACGCTTCAGTCAAGCGACATTTTGCCAGTAGATTTTTCTAATTTCAAATACAACTAAGAAATATATTATATTTAAATAATAAAAATAATAATAAATATAAATTGATTACGAGTTGACAATGATAAATCACTTGATTATGACGTTATATGGCAGCCATTTTTCTGCTGACGGTTTGGAAATAAATCGTTGGGGCAGCCACAGCTCTCACCGTACGTCGTTAGCCCGGGGAAAATGTCTAACACAAAATTGCTTCACCTCGTTATTACACTCACGTTAACGCGATAAACTGTTGCGCGTACAATAGACACATAAATAATTGACTCAATAACGTTTATTCGATGTCGTGTCATACGACTTTTCGGGTAAATACATGCGATTTTTTCCTTACCTGGACAGTTGGCTCTACAGCTAAAAGGATTCTCTCGGGCTTCGAATATCGCTAGGCCCCACGCCACTTATGCGGCATACAACGACAGTACAAGCAAATCACGCAAGCTCATTGGTTTATTTCAGATAAGCCGCAAAAAGTAAGCCAATCAACAGTCACCTTTTACCTTTTCGTACGTTTCTTTTTCGACGATCGTAGTGCCCCCACCACGCTAAACTTTGTCGTTCTCCGTTTTGATTTACTTCAGCGCGGGAAAAATTATATCATTTATTTTTATCAAGTTTTTACAACTCAAATTACTACTCACTCATTAGATCTTCAATCAATTTGATTTTAATTATTGAAATAATAAATTTATTGATTATGTTATGAGCTTTTAAAAAACAAAAAGTAATGAAAATAATAATGCTTTAAACAACTTGTCATTGAAATGGGGTTACTTGGTCAAGGTGGCGCCACATACCTACAAAAAAGATGTACCAACGTTTAAATAATTAATTTTCATAAGTAATCTACTTAACACAGATGTACATATTTTTAAATTCCAAACACATACTAATACAGTTTCTCATTGAAAAATTTTCAAAAATTATAAAATCAATAGTTACTGAATAAGAATATATCAAGAGCTTATATTTTTACTAAACAAAATAAATTGTGATATTAGTAATATCAATAAAATGAATGAAAGAAATTAACATTTCTCGACGAATTAATATTATACATAATTACATAAAAAATTTTTTAGAATAATAATTTTTTAAAAATTCATTGTTATATAAAAATATTTGCGATTGGTTAGATTTTCAAGACGATTGAATTTTCAACCAATCATCTCGTTATCGTGACATAATAAATTTCATGATCTTGAATTTTTTGTTACGCAGTTGTCAACTCTGTTTAGATGTTGCACACATTGATAATAATTTCACCTATTTTATCTTACTCACACATTGAAAGACATTCTAATATAGTCTCTGTAGAGCATTTCAGCAGTGGTCTTGATGTCGTCACACGCCCGTTGTGGTCAACTCCAGTAAACGAAATAAAGTGTAAATAAATAAAAATCATTCAAGTTTTTGTGAATATATTTTGTGAACATTTCGGTTGTTTTTTGATAATTTTGATAGAACTAATTGAAAAATTATTATTTTCGCTAAATCCGGCGTGTTTAAAGTGAAAAAGCCATACTGTAATCGATCTTGTGATATTTTCAACGTTAAACAATTTGTAGAACGTTTAAAAAAATTTGCTTTTCTCTTATTTTTCTTAGAAAGTGACATTTTCGTGTGATTTAATATATTAAAGAATAATTTTTAAATATTGAAATGATTTTTGATAAGTTTCATGAATTTATCCTCGGAGATACGGAAAGATAATCGAGCATTGTAATTTCAATTAATATTGTAAAAAATATTTACATTCTTAAAATAAAAATAGTACAGAACAAAGTTTGAAAAATGAATGGATTTAGTACTGGTGAAGAAGATTCTCGGGGGGCAGCTGATCAGATTTGTTGTCTTGTCGATGAAGGTGAAAGATGCACAAGAGCAGCTGGTAATGCATCTTATAGTAAACGAATACAAAAAACCGTGACTCAAAGACGTCTAAAACTTATTTTAGACCACATGGTAATTCATTGCAATTCACAATATGTCTAGTAATTAATCATTTCATTTTTCAATTGATTATAAATAAATACAGTTTTAAAAACCTATAAAATTGCTGATTATTTTTAGTACTGAAATTATTTGCATATTTCTTTTAACACATAAATTAAAGTTTATTTATTTATAATAAAACATATATTTTTCTCATATTCCAGGCAAGACACACTTACATATGTGACTATCATAAACAAGTGATACAATGTGCAAGATCGAAACAACAACAAAGAAGAAGAAAAGACTCTGAAGAAGATTCAGGCGAAACTGACAATGATCTTCCTGATGTTGATCTCTTCCAATTACAAGTGGGTACACTCCGAAGGTACAAAAGACATTACAAAGTACCTGCTAGGCCTGGACTAAATAAAGCTCAACTTGCAGACGTAAGTAAATAATTTTTTAATCATTGAAGTTTCAGTCAACTAACAATATATTGATGTTTAAATATATTTTTAGATATTAATGAAACACTTTAAAACAATTCCGGTTGCTGAAAAAGAAGCATTAAGTTTCTTCTTTTACACTGTAAAGACGAATGCGAATAAATTGGATCAGAAAAATGGATTGACTAACGATACTACATAACTGAAGGAGTTTTTTGTGAACTATAATTTTTTAAACCATATTCTTGAATGATTAATTAATTATAAAAATAATTGTAATTACAATAAGTTCACATTTAGTAATATCCATTGCGATTATATGTTAATAAGTATAGTGGAGAGATAATTACAAATTAATTGTCTTTTTAAATTGTTGAACGTAAATATTTTATATAAAATGAATCAGAGTGTAATAAAATATATTATATTACATTAGAACCTATTGATGATATTTAAATTTTTATAAAAATAATTTTTTTTATTTACCTATTAATTCATTTACAGTAAATCTGCTTTTGACAATGTTCCTGTTGCCTCTTCTTCACTGTCACTCAAAACTGTGATTAATAAAATTAGTCAATTACATGGTCATTCAGAAATTTATTATTCTTTTATTAATATGAATAAAAGTAATTACCTATATCATCAATAATTTTTGGTTCTTTCTTTACGATTTTTAATTCTTGAACTTCATCCATTTCTTCATCACCGGATGTATCAGATACATTCCAAGTATTTTTCCCTCCTTCTCCTATACTGAATCCCTGCAGCATAAATTTACATGATTAAAATTATGTGATAGGTCAGTATTTTTGTATTATAATTATATTTACAATTTGAGAAATTAATGCTGCTGATCCTTTTCCTATTTTATAAATCTTAGAATCATCTACATCTTCCTTCATGTCTACATATTCATCATTACTTGTTACACTTTCATCGTCATCTTTCATTTCATTTTTGACTTCATTTTTTGTTCCATTACTATACACATTCCATTTTGATAATTTAATGTGAATTCTTTCGCTCATCATTGTAGTAATTTTGTCTGTAGTAATGATGTTTTCAAAGTTGCAAACTGCTTTGAGTTCTTTTTTGTATCTTAAAAAAAATGATAAATTCAATTATTGTTTGAATGTTTTAATAATATTTATCCAATAAATTAAAGATATCCGCAATTTTATACCTTATTTCAACGTCTGTTTTTACCGCTTCTCGTATAAGTTTAATTAATTCAATAGCATAATTCGATGCATCGTGAACAACTGATGATATAATATCAGCTGAAACCCCACTTTTTTCCGTATGATCAAAGTGAAGACAGCAAATTTCTTTGTAAGCATTTAAACCAATGGTCAATTGTGTTACTCCGAGTCTCTCTTCTATGTAAGTGGGATCTTTAATGGTTTTACCACTAAAAAACAAAATAACAATAATTTTTCTATTGTTTCGAGGTAAAAATTAGGAAGTAAGAAAAACAATTATCATAATTGATATACTTTTCAAACGTTGTAAAAGATACACAGACTGGGTGGTGAAATAGAGTTAAAGGTAGTGGATCCCGCTCCGAAAACGTATGTATAATTATTTCATCACCAGTAGAAGTAACGTCTGGACGATGGAAGTGAGATAAAGCTGCTAAGGTTGCAATACAAGCACAATCTACAAGATTTCCATCATGGTTAATTATGTTTACATCAACTCTTATATTCCAAACCTATAATGATAGGAATTTCATTTAATTAATTTTTTATTTTTCAGTCTCTATTAATAAATAATTACTTGTAACATAAATTAAACATTTATTATATAAATATAACTATTGAGGAAATTACTTTTTTGTCAGCTACAATACAAAGAGCTTCCAAATCAATGCATCTAGAGTCTTTGAAACACATTTCTAATAGTCTAGTGATTAAAACTCCAGCATCACTTTGTCTTCCAGCTTCAAAATGTGCTGCAGCCAGTGGATTCAATTCAACATTGATGTACAAAATTCCTTCATTTGGTCGAGATAGTTTTGGTGGTTGAATATCACAAGAAACATTCACTAAAACTCTGGAAAATTAAAACAAAATATTTTCATTTTCATTGATAAAAAAAAAAAAAATAATAATTAATGATCCTAACAAAATTATACTTTGTTTGTCCTAAAGAAGCTAAACAACATCCCCATTTGGATCCAAAGTGAAGTTTTACCGGTCTAGCTTCAAGTAAACTTCTTCCATCAAGTCTCTGAAATAATTTACTTATTTAATTTAATATTGACAAAAAACAAAAAAAAAAAAAAAATTATGTACTCACAATATTCTCCAAAAGAGCAGTATTTATAAATTTTCTTTCACACTTTGATATTAGAACTTCTTTCATTTTTTATTGTTTGTTTTGAAAAGTATTCTAATTGAAGGAATTTTAAAAAGTAAGGTTAGATTGACACTACCCACGTGATGAGAAAAAGAAACTGACGAAATAGTTGTGTGGTAATAAAATATTGAATAATTTTATATTTAGGTAATTAAATAATAATTTTACTTGAAATTAAATTGCTGATAATTATTAATTATTACGTTCGGTTATAAAATAAAAATTACATATGTGCTATAATATTTTTTGTTTTCGTTTTATTACAGTTCCTTCGATTTGTGAAGCCTAGAAAAGGTTATTTAATCAAATTTTAATATTTATATAAACTTGAATATCAGAGGTATAATCACGATCAAAAAGACTTGAAAAATGTCAGATATATTTGGAAGTTCATCCGGCTTAGATAATCCACCCCCAAATAAAAGTGGTGCAATTGATTCTGAACTAGACAATTTTCTTACGATAGAAAAACAAAAAATACAATTTAATGCTCAGGTAAATTTAAAAACAATGACATATTATATACATTGTGCCGATAATTAATTACAAAATTGGCATAGTAATAAATTTGATAAATTTGTAGATTCATGAGTTCAATGATTTTTGTTGGGACAAATGTGTGGATAAACCAGGAACCAAATTGGATAGCAAGACTGAAACATGTCTTACTAATTGTGTTGATAGATTTATTGATGTATCACTTTTAGTTACGAGCAGATTCGCTAAATTATTACAAAAGTCAGCCAATAGCATGTGATTATAATAAATGGGTCGAAAAAATATACTGCTTTAGTAATTTAAAAAATGTTATCGAATATTTTATTAGAAAATCACTTTAAAAAATAAATACTAAATTATTATTTTTACAAATATTTTTATTTCCTAATAATAAATTACAATTAGCACAATATATTTTAACTTACAAACACCATATGTTGATTTGTTCAATATATATTTATATATGTATATATATATATATGTATACATATATATATATATATATATATATATATATATATATATATATATATATATATATATCTCTTGTGTAAACATTTAATGTAAAAATAATAGAAATGTTATTTTTAATTAAGTTTGCATTAAAAAATCTTTGATTTAAACTTGTAAAGATAATTGAATTCATATTTTTCTTTTAATATTAATTACTTCTAATTTATTACTAATTTATCTAATGCAGACTTACTTGTACCTCGTTATACAATCGGTAATAGTAATTGTAGTAATACCAATAATTATAAAATAACTTTTCTAATAACAATATGGTCTTTGAGGCAAACACATATTATAAAACGCATCTTTCCTCCAAAATTCTTTACCTTTCCATGCACACATTCCTTTCGTTATAACTTCATTTAAATTATCTGATCCTTCGTAATGAGGATCTAATATTAACCAATAAGGCTGTTTATTTTCTTCATCGTAGCTTACACCTAAAATTGTATGAGCCAACACACCACCACCTAAATATAAAAAAAAAATTTAAGCATTTTTTTTAAAAATAATAACTAATAAATTTAATAGTTGGAAATGAGTTAATTAATTAACTCACCAATCATAACTGGAGTTCCTTGATTATCAAAGTGTTCTCTAAGATCATCAATTAAATTGGGCATATCTTTACCATTGGAAGCACATAATACTTTAACTGAAATATTTAAAAGTATTTCTAAAACAAATCCAACTTCTGTTGATCCAATCCACTGATTAGACCCGATGAATTTGGGCGCTTTATCGCCAATATCGACTAAACATTTTTGAATATCACGATGAGAAGGTATAGGTTTATCAGTATACCCTTGAAGCCTGTAAAAATCAAGGAATAATGATAAAATGATTTATTTATATCAAAAATATCACTAATAATGAACTCTTTAAGGTAGTTCATTCACTCCGGGCCGTATCAAAAGACCCAGACTTACTCTTTTAGGAACGATACGATAAAACTTAATTTTTTTTTTACAGAATATTTGTTATAAATGCATTTACATTATATAATTTTTTGACGAAAATTGAAAGAATCGTTTTTGAATGAAAGTTAAAAAACCTAATCTTGTAGTCAATTATTATTGGTTTAAATGGAGAGAAAAGTGAACTTTGATTTCAAATAACTCGAGTTCTAAACGGTGAATCGATTTTTTTCATTACAATGAACGTTTTATTTTCTAATAATCTTTAATTCTAATGTAGTAAATAAAACCTAAGAAAATATTAATCTCGATCGAACTACCTTAATATTAAAAAGAAATATCTTACTTGAACCATGAAAATATCGTTTGTAATGATCGATATGCACAGCCCCAACCACTATCATTAAAATTGTCTTGCTCATAATGATAGTAAGAGTAAAGCCCACTAACCAGACTAGAATTAGTTCCTAATAAATGTTTAATAAGTAAATCTCCATAAATTTTAAAATATTGATATTTAGTTGATTATTTATGTTTTTTGTAATAATACCTAAGTGTGATTTAATTGCTATATGTGGTTCAATAAGAGGTTCATTTGATTTAAAATCACTTGAAAATCTTACTGCATTTCCTTTCCTGAAATATGGTCGACTCAGATCCAATGCAAAGACATTATGTAAATTTTTTCTGTAGTCTTCTATAATAATAAGTTTTTTTTAGCCAATTTGGGGTAACAAAAAATTTTTTCAATTAAATTATAAACATAAATACTTACTTGTTTTTTCAGAAGAAATATCAGAATAAGCTATTGTAAATAAATGATCAAAAGATGGTAATTTAAAATGGAGAACTTCAGGAACTCGTAGTACATTTTTGTTTTCATTTATTTGCTCCATAATAGATCTTTCAATAAGTCGAAGAGATCGGCAGACAGATTCCACAAGAATTGAGTAAACTTGAGTAGCAGTAATGTTATGACCAATTAAAGAAAGTGTGTCAATATTAAGATTGAAATGGTAACTTTCAAATGGTAACTTGATATGTTGAACAACTGGAGCATATTTTTGTACATCTTCTGGATTATTTTCATTTGTTATTCTCATAAACATGTTGACATCAATCACATTGATAAAGCCAGAATATTTAGTAGAATTATTTAAAGATTTCAACATTGAAAGTTCTCTTGAATCACTGTCATTATCCATGAGGAATGTATTACTTTGTGGAAAATAGAATCCTACTGCACCTGAAGCGATCTAAAATAATGTTAAATGAATAATATAGTAAATGATTAGAATTAAAGCTAATTCAAATACCATATAGTTACATTTTTTCTCGTTGACTGAAATATCTCAGTAAAATCAGATTTTTCGGTAATTATTGGTATGACTGTTTTCAATCTAATATAAGAAAATTTATCTTCAAATAATTCTGTGTCAATAAATTCCAGTTTTCCAGCACATTTTAATTGTTCATGGATGTAATAAAAGGCTGAGATTCCGTTATTACGTGAATACTTGATTAATAACGGATTATCTGTGACATCAATATCCTAAAAATAAAAACATGTATTAAAATAAAGACGTTAAAAATTTATTAAATTGTTAAAACAATGATTTAAGACAAGCTAATACCGTGAAAGCATCAGGAATCTTTTCTTCAGATTCTTCAACAAATAACACTCCACAAAGATCAATTTCTGCGGGCATATTTAGTTGAAGATCAGCTGGCATAATTGCATTATTTTTTTCTTTACATCTTTCTGAATCTTCTCCTTCCTCATTTATATTTTGATTTTGATTTGGTTGCGGTTTTGGATTGAGTACAAAACTTAAAATTGTCAAATAATTGTCATACATAACACCAAAGAGTCTTCCAGTGATTGGGTATCGTAAGCTTTTTAATTTCTATAAAAATAATATATCGATTCAATTAACAATACAATAACCTACAAAATCTATTGTTATTATTATTATTATTATTATTATTATTTATAAAGTATGTTTATAATTTATATTATTAATTTAAACATTAAACTTCAAGGTTAATTTTAGAGCACTTGTTAAATACGATAAATAGTACTTACGGAAATAACTTGCAAAGAGATTCGTACTTTTGGCGGCATAATGATTGAATAAATTTTTGTTAATTGTTATATAAATATAAAAATTAATATTAAAAATATAATTACACCATATGGGCTTTTAATTTATGAATATCACATTTATTTATTTTGGAAAGTTTTCTAACTCACGTTGTCGCCGCTAGAGATAAGAGTCAATATGCCTGATCAGGTTCTATAATATTTTGAGTATTTTTTAATAAATTGATGAAATTCAATAACAAATGTCTTATACAATTACGATGATTTTTATATTGTAAGTGTTAATGTCATGAGAATGAATATAATTTTAATCATTTTATGTAATTTGAATGTTAGATATTCTCAAAATTTAGTTAACAAAATAGTTATTAGAGGGCTTACTGGATTTATACAGTAGTGACATTATTCTTCGAACAACTGAACAAATTAAATGGGGATGCTTTCTTTTTATACGCGAATATATTTCTGATTTTGGCGTGTGTTTGTGCACATGGGTATACATTTAGAGTTTTGCAAAGCGTCGTCGAGTGAAATTTAGTCAAGTATTTGTGCTTATGTGGTGTTTGTATAATAGGTTACTCTGTGCTCTAAAAATGACACTTTTCGTTATTTTAGTTGATTATTTTTATTTGTAAATTCAAATATTAATGTGTTAACTTAGAAAAAGTTTATGTAGAAAATTGTGTTTAATACATATTTCTCATTGACTTATATTTTGAACATTGAAATTTCATAATTTAAAATTAATTGAAAGAGGTTATGATCTCGACAGTTACTTGAGTTCAACCAGATATCACAAATGTTTACTTTTCACTGCATTTTTTCACAATATTTTAAAGGTTGTCCATTATTTAATATTTTTATAAATAATTTTTTTTTTCTCTTTACATGTTTTTAAACTGTTTTTATTATTTCAATTATTATTTTTGTCAATTAAAATTTGTTTTGACATCTCGGAAACCTGAACACGATTTCGGGAGAAAGTTTGTCCAAAACTCACATCAATTTATTTAATTGGCCGTAAAAAGCTCAATGAAATTTTTTATTACAACAGAATTTTGCGAAATGATGGATGAAATATGACGCCGTATGTTCCTGGAGGAAAAAGTCCATGATGATGGGCACTACCTCAAATTTAGAAGAAGCTTACCAACGAGCTCAGGTAAAATTAACCTCAAATTATGCCGAATTTATAAAAACATTTTTAAAAAGTAATGTATTGCTTTTGCAGAATATGATAAATCAAGTATCCAAAAATTGGAAAGATGGACAACTGGAGAAACCTTCTCTCCAAAAAGGTCTTCAGGGCCACTCAAAACACAGTATTCATTCACGACTTACGAGACTCTACTTTGAGGAATTGTCGAAAGTTCCTCATGCCACTCCGGACTCTGTTTTGGTAATAAATTACTTTTTCATACTAAATAACATTTACTACACATTATTTGATTATGAATTATGTTGGAGAAAATGTTTTTATCGTTAAATTGTATAAATAACATTAATTATTTATAACCTCAAAAGAATAATCTGGAGAACGAGTGTGATCTTCTGGGACGGTTGGTGCAACGGGAGGGTTTACATACTTTAATTGTTAATCTTTATGCTGGTAACAAAGGATACTCATTAGCAGTAAGAAATATGTAAGTATTTCAATCGAAATTATCCAATAAATATTGTGTTAAACTGTTGACATAACTGACATGATATCTTTTCAGCGACAAAAGGAATGAATTTGACAAGAATTATTCACTGTCAGAAACCCAACTGATGGGATATGAACAAGGAGAATTATTGTCATGTATAGATAATGGTCAATTACCAGCAATGTTGGCTGAACAGTTAGAACCCAGTTATTCTCATCTATTCTATGATGGTTGCATAATTGCCGAAGTTCGAGATTATCGGAAAAATTTATTCCACGGCAAACCAGATGTTCATCATGTTCTTTTGAAACCTACAACTCAAAGTATTTTATCAGATGTTTCAACGTTAACAAGCGATGGTGAATGGAGTCATGAGGAGCGATTACTATTGGAGTCTAGATTAATAGAAGCGACTCAAGGTCCATTATGTTTAGATCCAAATCCAATTCCAAGTTTGGCATCTACGCGAATACGTCAATCACGTTCTCTTTTAAGCGATCATCAACTTCAACGACAAGCCAAAAAGTTTTCCCAAGTCACGGTGAACCGCAAGAGGAAATTGGAGCAATTAGCACAACCAGAAGGTTCAACAATACAAGATTTAATGCAGCGTATTCGTGCTAAAAGAGGACAACCGATCAGCACTGCCTGCCCAGCACCATCATTAAATACTCCTCCACTCTTACCACCTAGTAGTCCAATTGATGTATTAAATTACGCCAAGGCATATGAGAGACCTCGAGAAACTAAAGACTGCCTTCCTCAACTTATTGAAGAATATATTTTAGAAACAGAAAGAGGTCAAGGTAGAGTTTATCACATAAAATTATCAATTCTACAAAGACCATCAAATTCTGAATATTTAGGGGAGCTTTATGTTGATCGAGACTATCGAGAAGGAGAAAAGAATGGATCAGCATGTAGATTTACTCTAGGGACAAGAGTTCAAGCCAATCATTATATGCAGCAATTTACAGAAATTTTTACAGAAGAAGGTCGAAAAAATGTAAGAATTAAACACGTGGTACCGGGCCAACCAGCAAGAGTTACTTGTACTCCTGGAATGCAGAGAGCTCAAGCCCAAGCTCAATTAGCTCAACAGCTTCAACAAGCTCAGTCACAACAAGCAGCCCAGCAGATTATTTCTCGAGCTCAAGGACAACTAAATAACCTAGCGGGTCTAGCATCAATAAAAGCTGAACAACCTAGTCATGTTGTAGTCCAAGGAATTGAGTCTGTTGCAAATGGTTTACCTTCAGTTTCTGATTCTAATATAAACACCAATTGTGATGCTAATCCAAACGGTAGTGGTATATTAGTATTCAAACAGCCAGCAGCAAATACAAAAAACGTTCCTGTACTTCAGGCACAACTATCTGGTGAGTCTAGTAATCAAGGAGAATTTAAGAAACATTCTAATCCTGCAATCAGTGCACTAGTTACTTCATTAATGAATTCAGCTCAACAATTTCAACAACAAGCTGCTGCCAATGCTGCCGCAGCCGCTGCTAATGCTGCTGCCGCAGCAGCTGCTGCGATGAATAATAATGTTCAGCAACAGCATCCACAACAACCGGTTAAAAATAGTAATGCTGCTATTTTAAGTCTTTTAAACAGTAGTCCTGCCAATTTGAATCCACAAAAGAACCAAACAAGAAGAATATCCCTAAATGCTTCTCTCAATTCACGAGTCATTGGACACGGAAACGTAATTACTGTGCCCAGTTCATCAGGCCAAGTAAGAGTGAGTTTCAGCTCTGCTCTACCAAGTCAATTGGCTGGAAAACAACAACCTGTTAAAGCCACTGCGGTAAGACTTGCAAGAGTTCAAGATAACACATCAACACTCGGTCTCTCAGTACCTGGACTTTCTGCATTATTAGCTGGTACTCCATCAGCTGATAATCCTATTCCGAATTTGAACAATGCTTCGTCTTTATTAGAAAGATTGACTTCTTCAAGTCAAACGACCCAACCGAGTTCTATGACTAGTCCACCACCCACCAATGTTAGCCTTCAGGGAGTTAATCTTACTAGTCTGCCAAACTCTATCAATGGTCTTCAAAATGTTCAAGTATCATTCCCTGGACTATCACAATCTATTACGATGCCAATTAATGTTTCTGCTGCTACTGCTTCCGTTACACCGTCAGGAGTAATCGTATCTGTTCCCATTTCTACTGGAACAAACATTTGTACTACTGTTTCTAGCGTATGTAGTTATATTATTCAATTATATTTTTCAAGAAACTCTTCTATGTGATAGCTTGTTGATGATTATTTTTAGATGGTTGCTGCTACAGTTGTTACAACAGCGGTTGCGGGATCAAATCCAACAGTGGTGATAGCTAATCCTGCCAATACTCATTTATCATTACCAATCGGTATGATTTTTTAAATTTATTGTCAAATAACAGCATGGATTATTTATTATTTGTATATCATAATTAATCATTCATTGATTAAAAATATTCAATTGACTTTGGTTTTTTTTTGAAATTAATTAATTTAATTTTCTCATTACAGTTTATTTCTTTTATTTATATTATAATATTAACATATATATATAAATTAATTCTACTAACTTTCAACAAAAAATAAGTTCAACGAATTGATTTATTAGTTCGCTTTGCAGCTCAACTAATCCCTTCAGGTGTGAAAGGACTTACTCATCAGAATATTCGGAATACAAATGCTGTCACACTCTCTCAGGTATACATGATTTTTTTTTATTTTTTATATTTTTTTTTTTTATTCTGTTATTATTGTAATTTTATTAGTGTTATAACTATTTTCCTTTTTTACAGGGAGGACAAGCAATTCAACTTGTGGGATCTCAGCGTCCGCGCCTCAATCAAATGACGCGGCAAGTTCAACCGAGTCAAATGAAATCTGCAGTTCTTCCTAATCAATTAGTTACAGTTGCCAAATCAGCTGCTGTTAACCAGCTGATTCTCTCTGGTAATAAGCAAGTTTTAACTCCAATTATGGGTAAGTTTGATTTCAAATTTAAATTGAATTGATATATGTTTAAAAATTGTTATTATTATTAATTTGGTGTTAATATAATAATTCACATAATTAGATTATAAAATTTTCATTGATTATAATGACATTTACAGCAACTAAACCCGTGCTTATGGCGACCCAAGCGACGCCGTCTTCCCAAGCTGTACCTGCAAATAAACACACACTCCTCACAAAATCTTTGCACGCGAGAACTGGAGTAAACAGTCAAGTAAATCCTCAGGCTCAAGGAATTAACGTTGCTAGTCTATCACAGCAACAAGTAATAGCTTTATAAATAATTAAATTTTTTAAATTATCAATTTCAATTTTTTTTCAATTCAATTATTTAATAATTCCTTTATTTTTGACATTCTATTTACTTAAAAGAGATTGTTTAAAAATTTATACAGTTGAAATTTTAAAAATCTAAAAATAAACTATTTCAGCTTCAACAACTGCACCAATGTTTAGCGGCACAGCAAAAAGCAGCAGTTGCAGCAGGAAGTTCACCAAATCGGACGCAAATTCAATCACGAAGTTCAACATCAACACCTGGGGATGAATCACTGTGAGCTTCACATTTGTTGTTCATATGTTACAATTTTTTAACGAATAATTGAAGCCTTCTCTAAACGTAAATACAATAATAATAAAATAATAAAAAAGAAAATGGTGATGATAAAAAAAGTGCAGTGAATATACATAAATTATTGATTAAGAAACTATCTAGTAAATATCTACTTAAATTTTGCTTATTAATTTGATAAAACAATTATCTTTATGATCTTTATTTTTTCTTTATTGCACAATATATTTATCATGATTAATATGATTTTTTGCATTTGTTAAATTAATTGTAATTAATGTTAAAATTAGATTGTCAGAAAAACTTGAAAGATTTATTTGTATATGGATATTAAAAGTTGAATTACTTTTGCAAACGATGAATAATGATGAATTTGAAGAAAAAATTTTTTTTATTTTTTACATTAAATAAAGTGTGTGCAATAAAAAAGAGAAACAAATAGAAAATATTTACTTGCACTCTGTAAAAATTGTCAATCAAGTGAGAGGTTTCAATTATTGTACATACTACATATATGTATATGTATTATTTGTTTTATATAAAAAATAAAAACTATAAAATAATAATAATGATGGTAATTATGATAAAATTAAATATTTTAACTGATTGATTCAATATTGCTCCTCATAGTGTAATTATTTTGATTTATTAATATTATTCTTTGTAAGAATAAGACAAAGGTAGGTGTAATTATGTTGAAAAAATATGTATTTAATAATAAAATAATTTTATTATAAATTTTTATAGTTTATAGCCTGCAAAAGTTGAACATTAAACACGATACAGACTGAAAAAGAAAGTATTGCTTAATAAATAATAAAAAAATGTGAATAAAAAGATATGAAATTTTATTATTTTCACTTTTACTATTTATATTTATTGAAAATGTCTTAAAAACATTCTTCAAAAAAGTTCGTTATTTGTAGTTGGCAAGAGTTTTTAATTTTTCCAACAATTATTAGTTATAATAATTAATTATTTATCAGTTAACTTGCTTAATAATTACTTTATAAAAAATGTAATTACATTTTTTTTAATTTATTTCAATTGAATCTTTGGGTTCTTAATGATCAAGTTATCAATATTACTTGAAAGTATTAAAAAAATATCTATATCATTCACTATTTATCAGTACTTGTGCGTGTAATATCTATTTACAATTTTGACTAAGGAGACTCAAAATATATATCTCTAGTTTTAATAATAAATAACTTTACGTTAACAATTGATTGTCACGCATATGATGAAAATTAATTTTTCGTCATGCCTGCGCGGAAAGTTCACTTTTCCATTGGAGAGGGGTTGAACTTTCCACTCAGGTATGACGAAAAATTATGTTCAGCCCTAAGGAGGACAATTAGACAAGCTTAAACCACGTGTTTACCCCCCTCGCCTTCGGCTCGGGTTGTAATTTTACACGTGGTTTGAGCTAGTCTACTTTTCCTCCCTAGGTGTGAAATATACTATTAACCAATTTTATTTGGAATTAGAAATCTGCTAATTTCGCTATCCACATTTCCTCAAACATTATTCCATTGTTATTTCCAATAACATTAGAAATTATATTTTCATTAATAAAATACTGAACATCCTCGAGCCCAGTGATTCAGGTACATTTTTATAATGATTTTATTGAGTTCGTGCTCGAGTATTTGACTCAATTTAACTATTTTTTTTCTATTATAAACGTGTGAATTACTTTATTGATTGGGTTGATAAGTTTCAGGCCTCAAAGATGAAGTAGTGGATATAGAGGGAACATTTACAGATTCTATTGTTTTTTTCATAGTCCATTCGCTTTCAGGATCAGAAAATATATTCGTTTCTTCGTGAGAACCATCAGATTGTTCCAAACTTCTTTGATCATCTTCTCGGTTGTCCTCAGATTTAATATTCTTTTGAGGAACTTCTGGAATAACTGTTAAAAAAATTATCATGATATTAAAATTGTTTCTAATTGTATTCTTCAATTATTCTAATTTTTAAATTAAATTACCATCTGTCAACTTATGTTTATTCAACCAGTCTGGTTCATCCCAAGAAACTTCATCAAATTGAAGTTGTTTGGTAGTTTCAAAAATTTCATTATAATCCGAAGACTTAATATCAAATATATCTTTCATTTTCACTGTGTTATTGTCATTTAAATAATAATAAGCCATTAATGCTTCTTGGTCGGAAGTTACTTGAAGAATATTTTCGAAAGTATCGTCTGTATGTGAAAAATCTCGAATTTTCAGGAAACATGAGTTGTGCTGATAATTTTTCCAAGATTTCGAAAATGAATCTATTTCATCCTTATCCGTGTAACCTTTTAAAATAATTTAATTTTTTTATTTAATAAATAATAATCCAAAATTACTCGATTATATTATTGAATTATTTAAACTTACTAGATTTGTAATTTGAAATGGCTATTTGATATTTAATCATTTCTGGTATCGATATGAATTGAATATTTATTGTTGGTAATAAAAGAGCTATTTGTTTCAAGAAACATTTTATCAATTTTACAGCATTTTCACTTAATTTTGGAGCGCTTTCGATGAATCTAAAAATAATAAATTTTGTAATAATTTTTCATTTATTTAATTTTAGTATTATTAAATTATCAATCTCTTACGTTATGAAAATCGAATGCAATAATTAAATTATCTTACTTGTATAATGTTGCCATTATAAGATCAACAGGAAACGTGTACGGAAGACTTAAAACTGATAATAATTTCATACTCTTATGCTTAAATAGCCAATTAATTATTCCTTTGTTTGCTGAGTCAATTGCGTCTTGGAATAATTTCATTACCGTTTCGGGTAAATCAGCGACTAAAGCTTCCTGTAATGGATTGGAAATATTATAATCCATTTTTATTTTAAAATTAAAATTTAGAAGACTTTCCTTCATGATTCACTTACTTGTCGATGCATTTTACATTCTACACACTCGGGGTCGTACTCTGTATTATCGTCAAGTGTTTCAGAAATAACAAACGTTGATTGGATTGAAACACAACGATTGCAATTGATTAAATTATTACGATGAAGAAACCTCAAAGCATCATCAAAACCTTGTTGGCACATTTTTGATAGAATCTACAATGTAAATCAATTATAAGTTTACATTTAACAAAATAATGAATTAGTAAATTATAGAAAAATGAATAAACTAATATTTACTTCAGGATTCGGAGGAAAAAGAATTCGTGCTAATCGATAAATATTTTGTCGAGATAATTCGATACTAGTATTAGCAAAATTAACGTGAAATAATTGTGAAGAAATATCACGAGGACAAATATCACTTTCACCACTAAATGGACTAATAGTTACAGTATTGTCATCTAAAGTTGGTAAATTATCACTAAATCCTCCGTCCATGTATCTAATACCATGAAATCGAGGCGGAAGAAGACCAGAAAAAATTGGAACAAAAGAACTTGCGAGAAGAGCCTATAATAAATAACAAAATTACTGTATTTTATTTATTGAATAAGTGATAAATAATTGATTATGAGAAAAATAAATTAAAAATTACTTGTAATAAATCTTCTCGTGAATTAAACTGTGAAACAATGACATTTTGACCATCATAAACACGTGTTAAAGAAATGTGAAGTTTTCCACTGACTCGAATGTGAGCATCATCAGGAAGATACTGTAAGATAAATTTATTAATCGTTTATTAAAATTATTATGTGATAATCAACTTAAAAATTAAAATTTACTTCTTGTAAACTCTTTAAAAGAAGGGCTTGTACATTGAACGAAGGACTGAAAGGTCCAAGAGTTTTCCTTCTTGCTTCTTTGACTAATTTTAATACATTACCCACCATAGTTCCTGAAACAGAGAAAGATGTTTAATTAATATTATAGAATATTTATCAATAATCAATAAAACATAAATATTAATATGTAATTCGAAGTAAGCAATTCAAGAATTTTATCACATTATTAAGCACAAAATTATTTTTTTGAATTGCATTTTATCAAATTAATCAATCATATTAATGAATTATCGGGCATCTGGTTATCAATAAAATAATGAACGATAATTAAATTTTTTATTTTTTAAATTAAACTAAGGAATAATTAGCAAATACATAAAAATGTAATTTCTTTGTGAAGTTCATGGAATCAGCAATTATTGTCAATACATATTAAAATAAATAAATTATTATTGTCAACCTTGATGAATGTTTATTCATTATTACATGATTCGTAACATAAGATGATTTCAGATTATTTTCTAAGCTTGACCCAGTTATCATCATCTGCTCGAACTGTTTTCTCTTTTTTTACCACTTCCTCATCACTAGTTTGTTCTATTTACGCAGAAGATTATTTATTTTGATAAAAAGCTCGTTTATTAAATGATAAATGTTGGTCAATAGCTTTGTGGGAACTTTAAAAAAATTGATATTAATCATTCGATAAAGAATAATGGAATCTATTTAAATGATCATCAAATAAATGTACGGCACATAATACTTTACAATATTTTTTGTTCTTAATGAGAATTTTCGATAAACAACGGAATTAAACCTTTAGATTTTTGAAATTTTTTTTCAATGATTCAACTTTAAAAATCGTATGGAATATTTAATCTTTAATAAACTTAATCAAAATATGAATTTTAAACTATTTTACATTCCTAGTAATTAGGTTCGACTAAACAAATAAAATTTCAAACCTAATCAGACCGGTTTGAAGGTCATTGATCCTCCTTAACTGATTTTTGTGTAAAATAAATCTTATCTAATAATAATTCAAATACCCAACGTTGAATAAAGAATAAAAAGATTTAAAGATAAACTATTATTATTAATTTAAGTTTATGTTATATTTTCTCAACAAAGAAATTTTCAATAATATCACATTGACATTGTATATAGACCTAAAAGAAAAATATGTAAGATTCTGGTATCAGTAAAACATAAACAAAGGAAGAGTTCACTCACCGAGGGGTAAGTCACAAAGAAGACAGCATGCTGCTATCGCTCCAGCTGAAGCTCCACTAATTTTGTCCAAAAGAAGATGTGGAGCATACTTTTTGAAGCAAACAGCTACTCCAACATGGTAAATACCGAGGAAACCACAACCAGCAAATGACAGATTCATTTTTCACTCAGTTTTTAAATTTCACTGATTCAAATATTAAAAAATCTTTTTAATTTAGCATTTTATAGACACATGAAATTGATGTAAGCAAATTAATAACAAACCTTCGAACAAATTGTGACAAATATTTTCAAAAGTGTCATATACGTTTAGTTCAAGATAATAAATAATCACTTGAGATGTTGCAATGCTTAGTAAAGACTGGTTTGTAAAAGATGAAGCAGCGTAAAATAAACTAAACTACGTATTGTAATGAGTAAATGAGTAAAAAAAATTATTTATCAGTTCAGAAAAACAATCGCAATGACAAGTCTTGTAATTGTGACGTTAAATACGTCAAATGTCACCAGATCATTTAGCTTGAATGCTATTCGTCGATAGTAAGGTTAGTCATAATGGCGGTGGATACACTTGCGCATGTACGTTATCAAAATTTGAATGTTTACAACGTTTATAATATTTAAAGTTTTATTTAATTAAAATCCAATAAATATTTAATACAACATTTTTTATGTTAAAAAGCTTTGTAAAAAAATACAATTATTCTATAAAAATGCAAATTTAGTATTTCAAATTTAATGGAAAAATTATAAAAGTATTTACAATGTTGAGAAACAAATAAATGCTGGTTGCAATTATTGTATTACATATCTTTATTTACTCTTCATTGGTTTGGTTATACACGTGTTCAAAAGATTAGAAGCAATTACTATGTATGTATAATCAGAAAGATATTACTTGGAAATGTTATGTTTGTAAATATCTTACACGATTACTTATTCGTAACGAATTTCTGCGTTGCGCATACTACTAAAATTTACACTAATGCGCATGTATTTTTTTTCATGTTCATTTGAGATGGTTTATAAACATTTCTCTTACGTGTATTAATTTCTTATTTGTTTTATATAATATAACACGATATTTTATTGAAAACAACAATATTTCTTATTTTGTGATGAACTCATTTTTAAACAAGTAATTTAATGGTTAAATTTGTTTCATTTTTATAAAAAAAAAATTGAAAAATATGTATGAATATGTTTAATGGGTTATTTTGCTCACGTCAAGATTACAACGTATCGTATCACTTGTTTATTGTTAATAATATATTGCAATAAAAATATAATACTTATATAAATTCTTATAATTAAAATCAATTTTTTTCAAAGATAGATAAAAATATCTCACGTTCAACTTCATACGTGTGTGTGATTTCTAACCTCTCAGATATTGTTTATATTTAAAATTATTATAAATAAACAACATATTAAATCTTCTATTTTATGTATAACCATGAGTGTGAACAATATGACTGTCAATAAAAATGATGTTAACAATACAGAGAATAATATCAGCATAATAAAAAATGATCTTTTTCATGCTGTGTATATTCCACCGGACTCTGAGAATAATACCCAAGGTAAAAAAAATTTATATTAATAATAAATATTTGAAGTTCAACAACATTTAGAATATTTTCTTTTAGATTCACTATATGTTTTTAACGACAAGATAGAGGCATTAAAATTAATAAAAGTTAATAAAACTGCTCGATTAAAATCATTTTCATCGAAGACTGAAGCTGAAGAATTTGCCAAATATGGCTCAAAACAAATTAACTCCCAGCAAAATGATTCTCAAATTATATTACCATATATTAATTTAAATGAAGGTCAAATTGTAAAAAAATTATCTGTACCCGAATCAGTTCCATTTAAAGTGCCGAATCCTCAGGAATGTGTTCGTTTCAGAAAAATTATTGAAGAAGGAGATTTAGTACTCATTAAATCAATGGTTTATGATAATCCGAGGTATCTGATCAGTAGCGCATATACTCCAGTAATTTTGCAGGTAATAAGAATTCGTAAATGAAATATGTTTTTATTTTTAAATAAATAGAAGCAACAAGTTAATATAAATTCTATAAAAAATGATATAATTCATAGGAGGGATGTCGTTACAACGCTCTACATATTGCAGCTTGTAAATCAACGAAACCTGTGGAAATGTGTAAACTTATTTTGTCAATTATATCTGATAATAATTTTATTGAAAAGGCTGAGGGAATGGAATTATCAAAAATTACTATTGATCGTGCTAAAATGTTTCTCGATTTATTTTTAAATACACCCGATAAAGGATTAAACGAAACTCCTCTTCATTTTGCTGCCAAATATGGACTCAAAGACGTTGTCAAGGTGCTAGTTTCATACCCAGAATGTAGTAAAACTTGTAAAAATAAATTCAATTTAACTCCAGTTGATGTTATTTGCACACGGAGATTTCAAGAGGATCAAAATTTAAAGCAGGAAATTCGAATGTTGATAGAAGATCAGTATTTTGTTCCAGTATTAAGATCTGATGATAATTCCCTTCCTCCATCTATTGGAGAACCTTTTTCTCCTGCCAGTCCACCAAGAATTACAGTCGATCCTTTAAGTCCAGTTATCGAGGTAAAAGCTTTTGCTGGACCGATGACTAAATCTCAAGCTGTAGAATTCCGGAAAAAATGGAAAACTCCCCCAAGAAATTTATTTCCTACACCTTCACAACGTGATGCAAGATTAAATGATTCATTTAGCAGTCTTGGAAGTCCAAATCGCAAAGATCCATTACCACGATTGCAAGACTATGAAAAAGGAATTGAATCAGTTGGTAGGTAAGTAAAAAAAATTATTTATTTCATTGATATGTTTAATCGTTTTGCAGTTATATTATTTAAATAATTTATTATTTCTATTTTAGAAATTTGGCAGAAGAATATCAAGTGCCATGGAAAGAGTATTGGCCTTTTCTCGATAATTTTGTAGATTTACGATCTCCAGAAGGTTTAGAACTGTTGGAGAATTATTTAGCGAAACAATCAATATTATCAACCGCTCCAACTTTAAGGGCTCGCATGAAAATTATGCGACAAAAAAAATTAGATTTTTCAAAAGACTTAAGTGATGAAGAATCAGAATCAGATGATATATTTTATACACCACCGGAATCTCCAGTTTCTTTCCCAGAATCAAGTGAATCTTCATCTTCTGAAGATTCATTTGATGAAGTTACAAATAACATTCCAATTAAGTTTATAAATGGGTAAGTACTGTTTAAAGTTTCTTTAAACAATTTAACGAAATATCTTAATGAATAATTATAAGATTAATAATGTAATATTTTTACTTAGTGATTTACCAAGTAAAATTGATTGGGCAGTCTACAGAGCTATTCCAGAACAAGTAGATCGAGAAATTTACCCTTCAATATATTTATGGAAACATATGATATCAACTTACAACCAAATAGATGAATGCTGCAGGTAATTACATGAAAACAATCAAATCACTTACACTCATGAAAATCATTCAATAAGTTTATTTTTATTTTTGTTTTCAGTATGTTCAGAAGGAAACTTTTACTCAGTCCCAACTAATAATATATTTTTTTTCAAATCAAAACAGTTTTTAATACATTCTACAAGGACTTTCACGTTTGCTTTCAGAAATATTCTTATAATTAAAAAAAAAATATTTTTACTGTACAAAATATGTAAACAGTTGAAAATTTTCATATTAATGTGTTCAAATAATTCTACTTTTATTAAAAAAAAACTTTCAAAGAAAAAATTTGTCTAACATTTCTAATTAAATTTTATTCAAGTTAACGTTACACATTTTTGTCTGGAATTCAATTTCTGATTTTATATTATCATCAACAAGGTATTAATTTATTATTATTATTATTATTATTATTTATATGTTAACATTAAATTCATTAATAATTGTCATTTTTTTAACGAATTTTATTTTTTCAATGTTAGTTATATTTTTTTTTAATAAATTAAGCATTGATTGATGTGGTTGCTGGTGGTGTTTGTTTTAATTGTAAAATTATAGAACGCATCCTTGACACATCCTTAGAGATTCTTGATGATTTTGGATTAAAATCACAAAGTTTCGCAATACGTTCCCATTCTGTTCCTGGTTCTACTTCACCTGCTTCTGCGACGAATTGTTTCTCGGCATTCCTAACAAAAGAAGAAAAAAATTTTTTATGCAACAGTTAATTGTAATGACTCTTATATTAATCGTGCGATATGATTAATTCACTTCTCCATTGCATTAAAATAGCGTATGATATTCTTTAGTTTAATAATTGCATAAAAAAAAGTATTGTATTGATAATAATGAAGGTTACATGCGCATAATAAAGCATGTCCAGTCGCCCTTCTACATTAACTACATTGTGCAATTATTTATTGAATTAATTTATATAAAAATTTATTAAAGTATGAATAGCATGATCGGAAAAAAATTTTTTCAAGATAAAAATTTTCGATGACTTGTGTCATGATAATTTTTAAATGAATTATTTTGATATTTTTTAATGTTTAAAAATTACTTAATATTGACATACAGTTTTGCTTAACATTAGATCGTACTGAAGATCATGCTTAGATAATAGAAATTGTTGAAAAAAACTTACTTGGCAGATTCCCTAAGAAGCAGAATGAGAATAGATATTTTCGTTATAATCGTATTAACAATTTTTTTTTATAATAAAAGAATGATTAAACAGTCACTGATTGTTCAATTTTTAAAATGATATTAAAAGTCCATATTTATAATTTAACATTAAAATATTTGATTGAAATCAATAATTACATTTTTTTCATTTACAAAAACAATATATATAAGTATAATTACCTATTGGTGGCTTTCGTTTTGCTAGTAGTTTCAGCATGATGTTTGTACCATTCTTCTAGTTCTTTTTTTGCAGCTTTTTTCCATTCTTCTTTCTTCTTTTCTTCTTCAGCATCTGTTGAAGAAATAACCAAACAAATTTTTATTAATACCAACGTGGAAGATCTATTTATTTAACGAAACTAATTTTTCATAAATGATTAAAATACCTTTTTCTGCAAGTCTTTTGGCCTGTTCTTCTCTCCATTTTCTTATTTTTTCAGGTTCTTCTTTAACAACTGGAGCAGGTGTAGGTTCTGTTATAAAATTAATCAATAAAATTTAGATAGTAAAAACAAGTTAGCTTATAATGAAAAACATAATCAATAATACAATTGAAAAAAATTAAAAAATTATATTTGTCCATTATTAAACCTTTGAGCTAAAGATAAAGTAAGTTAATTTATAAAAAAATCAAAATGACGAATTCACCTGGAGCTGAAAACGTATCACTTGGTTGATCGACGGAATTAATCATCTCGAAGCTTCCGGTGCCATTCCCACCGGATTCGACTGTCATGTTTTCAAAGTTTCCAGATAAATCATCTACAGACGATGTTTAAGCAAAGAAAAAAAATATAACTCATAAGAACAATTAAATTAATAAACTTAACTTTATTATAAGCAACGAAAAAATTAACAAATCTTTAATTATACATCTATAAACAGCCAATAAAACAAAACCATTAAATACCTTCTACAGTTGGAGCTGTTGCTGGCTGTGTTGAAGTAGTCATTACTACTGGAGGAATTTCATCTTCAAGACCAGCAAGTTGATCTTGTTCTCTAGCTAAAAATTCGGCGGCCGGATCTACTTCGATACCATTGGTAAAATTATCGCCAAAACCGTCCATTATGTATAGCTAAATTAAATAAAATAATTTATTCTAAACATATTAATTATTAATAATCATCAATATACTATGAATTGTAGACTTATTTTTGTATCAATAAATATTTATAAAATTAAATAAGTATGATTACTTATTAAAATTTAATTAAACTTTAAGTATTAAGATGATAGAGTATGGTTAGTTTTTTGCCATTAATATAAATTTTACGTAAAGTAAATGGATAAAATATGTACAAGTATATATATTTAGTATCAATGTATTACCTTAATTTGAAGTTTGTTAAAATGTAAAATAAGATGGAATGTTCCGATTGATTAAATGATACACACCCCTCAGGATATAATTTATATCAAAACAGCAAGAAACGTCAATGAGTCGACGTACATATGTGTCAACGTTAAAGATAAGAGAAGTAAGTATAGAAAGCTAACGCTGGGCTAACAAGTTGATCATTTTAAAAGCTTTTATTAACCTACCGATTGTTGTCGCTGTTTACAACTTGAGCGCTGTTTTCATAGCAACGCCATCTCCTGTCTTTTTGACGAGTCTTTAATTCACTTTTTTTTTTTTTTTGTTTTTTTATTATTAAATTAATTCACGTTTTAACCGTCCATTTAATTGTTGAGCTTCTATACTAATCTCTCTTCTTTGATCACTACTCTAAATTTATTAAAACGCATGTGTGAATTAAAAACAAGAATACGATTTCCCGAGAAAAAGATTTCTGGGAACCATATTTATCAATAATTCATGTATACCTGAATATATAATCCATTGAAGAATATCTTTAGAAAAAGTAAATTATATCATAACAATAATGAAATGGCAATATTGACATAAATCATATGAGTAATGTTTATGATAATTATTTATGTATTCTTATTTCTTTGTGTGTTTATGTTTCAACTCCAATTTGGTAGGTGGGGGAAACAGCTGGTAGCTAGAACATATTGCTAGCAAGTGATATAATGTGATGCTGAGTTGAATAAAAGAGTGGGGTAAGTTCGAAAGCCAACACGAAGACGGCCTTCCTTTGTTCAAATCCATGAAAGGTGTGTAAGTGAAGAGAAGGTATTAATTGGTGTATATCTAACAAAAAACACAATTAAAAAAAAAGTAGCGTGCGTCACTATGGAGACAAAACAACGGAACGTGGTATAATAATGTTTCCTAGTTTCAACGTTCCAAAGATTCAATGCACAGTTGTCAGCTGTTCAGTTCAATATGGATTATATATAATAGCATAGTATTCCCGTCAGTCAGTGGATAGAAAACGTATTCCTCTCAAAACAACAATCAACAATAACAATAACAAATAATAAAGGAATAAAATTTCTATAAATTAGAATCAGATAATAAGGATAAGAATATCTGTTAATTCAATTAAAGTAATTGCTTTATGCAAAGTCTAGTGCGCAACGTTGATGTATTGACGCAAGGACTTAAATACAGTATATCTGGACTCATGAACCTCGCAAATCAAACTACTGAATCTCAGAGTGGTGCTTTCTTTGTTAATTTTAATCAAGACTGCACGTAAGTCATCTACTATTTGACCTTGTTATTATCATTAAATGACTGTAATTATTATTTGTCTTGTCATTGTATCATTATCAAGGCTTATATTATCTATTCTAACAAAGGTTTATTAAAAGCCCTTCCGTATTCCGAATCATTTAAATCATTTGTTGCAACGCAATAAAACTCCTACTTCGACTGTTACTTTAATACATCATTGATGATATCGCAATTATTCTTTATCATACTTTTACTTAAAGTTTGGCGTCATCTCTAACTCTTTTTGCGCGTCTTTTCTCGCGCAACTGGTACATACATCTCGAATGTTTTCATTTTATGCCTCATCTAAAATCTATTTATTTTTTATCAAATTCCGTCTTTGATCATGTAAACTCATATAATAAAGGATTTTTATTGAAAACATGAATTTCATTATTGTTTAATGTGTATAAAGTAACCTGTTACTTTCTGATGTCCTTTCTAATATTTTTTTGCCCTCTATACTCATGGCGATCAGTGCATACTTTGATGTATGTAATACGATTGCTTCACACTTGCTACCAGTCCTTGTCCACCAATCCGTTATTATGTATGACGTGATGCTCACTAAATAGCGTCCTATCGTTTCATTTTCAGATTTCCCCTTTAATTGCGTGATCTTTCCATGTTTTATGACTGCACTTCTTTGGCAGAAAGTATTAATTATTATCACAATTTCTTCATGATTGTTTCTTTTTTTTTTTCTTTTTTTTCTTGATATTCTTGAGAGTAAAAATAATTCCACAAAAATAAATACAATCTTATTTTCAAGGTTCTTCATCTTAGTTATAATTCTATACAATAAATGAATGAATGTTTTTACAGAAATTAAATGTTGTCATTGAGATTGAAGGTTGAATTATTAAATATGTTCCATTTTTACTATTTTCAGATCATTATCAGTTGGCTCTAAGGCTGGTTATAGAATTTTTTCTGTGAATTCAGTAGATTATTTGGAGAATATTTATGAAAATGGTAATGTTTACGACTATTAATAGAATCATCACTAAAAATAATAATTATATTTAATTAATAAATTAATGGTAATTTATGAATTAATAAATATATTCATATTATTTTTGTTGTTGTTTTAAGACACTGACGACATTTGCATTGTCGAGAGACTATTTAGCAGTAGTCTTATCGCCGTGGTCACCTATTCTTCCCCAAGGAAACTTAAGGTCTGCCATTTTAAAAAGGGAACGGAAATATGTAACTACAGTTATTCAAACACAATTTTGGCCGTAAAACTTAATAGAGCGGTAAAGTGAATTTTTTGATGATTTTTTTACAAACATTAGCGTCTGATTGAATGAAAAAGAACAACTTGTACACGTTTTTACAGAGACTAGTAGTCTGCTTGGAAGAATCTTTATATATCCATAATATTCGGGACATGAAAGTATTACACACGATCCGTGATACTCCGCCTAATGTAGCAGGCCTCTGTATACTTTCAATAAACAGTGATAATTGTTACTTGGCCTATCCTGGTTCAAATACAACAGGCGAGGTTCAAATATTTGATGCAATTAATCTTGTAAATAAACAGTAATCTACAGTAATTGAATTACATTCAAGCACTTTATTGAGTTTATTTATAATTAATTTATATTGTAGCAAGCCAAAACTATGATTCCTGCTCACGATAGTCCACTTGCAGCCCTGGCTTTCAGCCCTACTGGCACTAAAGTAGCCACGGCATCAGAAAAAGGAACTGTAATCCGAGTATTTCAAGTAAATTATCCAAATTAAATGAGAGACAAATATAAGTCATTATGATAAAACTATAAAACTGAAATACTTGGAATTGTTAATAATTTCTAGATTCATGATGGAGCCAGGCTGTTTGAATTTCGTCGAGGAGTTAAGAGATGTGTGTCAATCAGTAGTTTGGCGTTTAGCATGGATTCAATGTTTTTATGTTGTTCCAGTAACACTGAAACTGTACACATATTTAAATTAGAAGAATCGAAAGAACCGTAAGTAACTGTGTGTAATATCCATGAGAATTAGATTGATGCAAATTTATTATAAATTACTTTACTTAGAAAGTTTTCTATTTTATTGTCTTAATTGTACAATCTATATTTAATTGATAATTAAAATTTCTTTGTTCATGTTTAATTGCATATTATTAATGGAATTCAATTTAAAGCCCGAAACAAGCTCCTGATGAAGCGCAATCTTGGATGGGTTACTTAACAAAAGCTGTCTGTGCATCAGCCAATTATTTGCCATCACAGGTGACTGATGTATTTTATCAAGGTCGTGCGTTTGCCAGTGTTCATCTACCTTTTCAAGGATTAAAAAACGTCTGTGCCATCACTATGTACGTATATTTGAAGAAAAAAAAATTTTATTAATATTATTATAATTAAATAAAATTCAACTTAATTTTGTGATAAAATAAATTTTTTAATTTATAGGATAGAAAAAGTACTGAGGTTATTAGTGGCTAATGCAGATGGATATCTTTATATTTACGATTTTGACCCTGATGAGGGAGGTGATTGTACACTAATTAAACAACATCGGTAAGATAATAAATAATTTTAATTGAATTTAGTTTTTTTATTAAAAAATTTAATTAATTTACAGACTAGATGGTAAACATGATGAAGTGAATTGTGCAACGACGTCGAATACAGGTCCAGATGGTGAAGCTACAACAGCCTCTGCAACTCCTGCTGCCCTAATAGTACAAAATCAAGGTAATTTAAATTATTGACTTATTACCAAATATTTCGACTAAAGTAAATAAGTATGGCATGTTTCCGAAGCGAGTTGAACGTAAAATATATCGTCGACAAAATATGTAACAATTACTCTTATTCTTGAAATGTGCATAAACATTGTTAAAAAATTTTGTATATAAATAATTATGAATATTATTATTTATTTGTAATCATAATAATGATATTGATATTTTATTTAATGGAAAACATGTACACGTGATTGTCATAATTATTGTGCACGTATCAAGTGAATGCAGATGATATGACTAATGTATCGTCTGCTTTTGTTACGCCACACACGCACACAGTAGGTTAACGTGAATATATTGAATTCTTTAATGTGATATATCGTTTAAAATAAATTTCATTCGTGATATTAAATAATCTATAGAAAAATATTAAATTCTTTTTACAAATTTAAAACTCATTAATATTACTATTAATGATATTATTTGTTATCTTTACTATTAAATTTTACAAGTCTAATAGAAAACTAACTTCCAGTGCATGCATTATATCACAACACAATCCAAATCGCATTTTATTGTATAAAAATGAATGAACAGAAAGGAAATATTATTAGTAATATAAAGAACATTATTTTTCATGAAGATACGACTTAATAGAATAACTGTAAATTGAATTAAATTATTTTAATTTATAAATATATTAACAAAGAAATTTATAAACAATTTGATTATACGTAAGACTAATTGTAATTAAATATAAAAATATGTAGACAAATATTTTATTATTTAATTACTCTTATATCAATTAAATGGTTTATAAATCTCTAAAAAATCATTTCTCTATTCAACATTATTGATATAATTTAAATGTTACCTATTATCAGAAGTAACGCAGGAAAAAACAGTAGTTTTCTAAATGATGAAACAATTGTATCGTAATAACTGATCATTATTTACCAATCAGTATTATTAGTATAGGTAGATATTAAATTTTATAACTAATTAATCATCATTGCAAAAGAAAATTGTTGTAGACAATGAGCCTTATAGATGCTTATTCTCTTTGACTATCAAATAATCAAAGCTAGATGACAACTATTATATTTATAATTTACTTATTTATTTATATGTCTCTTCACTTATCTATTTATTTATTTATCTTATAAATGTTTATATTTATCTGATCCTAATGTGGGTGCGTGTGTGCGCTTCTTTGTAATGATGAAAATGTTATAATGACCTTTTATTATTTTATACTCGCTTTTTCTTTTGCTTCTTAACCCCGCAATGAGACTGCCGAAACAATCTCGCCGTGGGGATAGGGGAGCTCAGATAGTTGACCTTACTTGATATATTTTTTTTTCTTTTTATTATCCGCTGAAGCCTGCATAAATAGCTACGCGGGTGCATTGCGCGGCCGCTCGCCAGACTCCATGTCAGGTACTGGTATGTCCTCTATTCAAATTCATCCCCCTCGACTCGCTCTCATTGCTCAGATAAATTTAATTATTAATTAAATACCATCTCATTATCGAAAGTATCTATTGGTACTGACGATTATATATTTTTTTTATAATTTTAAAATAATGCATACGTCAATATACATTTTTTTGTTCAATTGATTTTACCAAGACTGTTACTGAGTCTCAGGCAGATTAAGTTCAAGTTGGATTTCAATCTTGTCCTAAGAATTGAAGTAATGGTTATATTATGTTATACTTTAACTAAAATAATAACATTTAACAGCACACACTCACTCGCACCTAAGTACGCGGCTATTGTACCTTCATGTATTATTAATTTTTTAGCACTTGATAATTGTATTTATTTAGAATCATTAGATTTATTCTGGTTTAAATATTAATTTACCATGAGGTTTAGGTATATTATTTTTATTGATGGTTATTCATTTTGATGTTTGAGTTTTCGTATAAAATAAGAGATTGAGGTAGGGCTCTGGACATATATTTATATATAGTATTAATGGATTATTTTATTATTAATTTATCCATTCATTTTTTTCACACTTTTCTTTTTAATTTTCTCACTGCATGAGTTGGTATATAATTTTCATTTTCAACTGTTTTTTATTATTATTTTAATGCTCTACATTCTTTCCCTTTTCATTTACATCATATTTTCATTAATTTAACGTAGATATTTAATATAACTAAATGAAATAGTTATTAACGTCTGATGGAAGAATCATATTATAGTTATATAAAATAATTTTAAAAATATTAGAAATTATACTAACGTGTCATAGTGCAAAATAGAAGAGTTTATCAGCAATATTGCAATTGATATTGAAATGCTTTTTTTCATATTTTGTCACGCTTATAAAAATACTTTTATGAATGATTATTAATTAAATATGTTAATTCTAGAGTCAGAAAAGTATCATGAAATGATAGCAGCTACAGAGAGTCCACCGAAGGGAGGCGGGCCCTTCCGACTCGATGATGACACTGAATTTCCTCCAGTAACACAGCGTACAGATTGAACACTTGAATGTGATACATATCAAAAGGCATTCAGCTAATCAACTGGATTATATTTGAATTATAAAAAATTTTTTATGGAAAAATGCAAACAAAAAAATGTGATATGGCGAAATGGAATTTATGATGTAATTGTAATATTCATGTATTATTCATTATTCTTGATTCTCTAGATGAATTACTAAAAATTCAAATTCCTTTTTTTAACTGCAGTTTAAGAGGAATATGCAATCATCTGAACTTCAGATCAATCTTTGTATAGAAAATAGGAAAGAAGGTGATATAAAAGAAAAAGTTGAAAACAAACAAACAAACAAACAAAAATAAGAAAAGTAATTTTAAAAAAATTGTCACATTTTCGTGTCGATTAATTGAATGTTAGATTATATTTGTATGTGGACGACTCATGAATGGTGCCAATTAATGAGTTCCATCCGTACTTTAGCAACAACGACGCGCTTTCAACATGAATTCTATTGTAAATTAAATGCAAATAGGGCCCAAAACTTTTGGTATCTGTTAATTGTATGAATAATTAAAATGAATTTTTCAATTGTATACAAAATAATGATATTGTACACAAAACTAAAAGTTATAACAAGTAAAAAAGAAATTTTTAAAAAATCTAGCTTATATTAAAAATACTAGATGCCACAAATGTAATAATTTGGACATTTTTATATTTATGCGTCGTTTTTAGTAAAGATTTACTTTTATAAATATAAAACAAAGTACTAATAACAATTCATGTAAATATATTACGATTGTTTGTGTATTGTCGATACATGATATATTATATATCATTATCATCGTTGGAATCTTTTGATTCTTATCAATAGAGACATGAATATACTAATATATAATTTATCATTGAATCCTTTCAATACAATCTTTTTTATTTATATAAATTCCATTGAAATGTACTAAGGCTATTTTCCTTCTAAATTTTGTATAAAGTCATTAGAGATGATAGCCATATATTTTCACACTGAATAATTTGTTTTTCATGGTTTTTGTAAAGCATGTCATTCACTAAAGAAATCATTGAATACAATTGTCTTATAATAATTATTACTTTTTTATTTTGTAAAATCATATTTTGAATCATTAGAAATAATTATTTCAATTACGCAGCTAGAGCGTGTTGTGAATTTAATTATTTTATTTTTATTTATAATATTACTAGCAATGAACAGTGGAAAATAACAGTGAAGACATAACAAAAGGGTCTATCAAGGTTTATAATCTCTTTGATTACAGAAAATAATATAAATGAATTATCTAAAAAAAATGAGTTATGATAAGATGCTTGTAGTTACAATTTTTTAGTTTAAGTTTTTGTTAATGAAAAAAAAACTTGCATAATGATAACATGTTAAATGATTAAGTGAATATTAATATAGACATCTCTAATCAGTATAAAAAGATGATTACTCAATAATTTGATTTAGATTTTTCTTTTCATAAATTGTTTAATTCGTTAAAAATAATGAATGTGTAAAGTTTACACAAAAGATATAGTAAGACAGGCCCTTTCGTAGTGAACTCACTGTGATGAAATACACAAAAGCGAAGACTTAACTATAGAGATCGTCATCACCATCATCTTGGAAAGCTTGATCACCCTGCGTGGTATCTTGGGCACCACCTGTTGAACTTTGAGGAAATCTGCAAAAATAATTGATTATTTTCTCGAATATCTATGTAGATTAACAAAAATATATAAATTTCAATAAATAAATTTTTTTTTAAATCAATGTTTTGTTGATTCTTTAAAATATTCAAATATTAGATACCTGAAATTGGTGCCGAAACCTCGAGATTGTTGAAGTGTTTGTGCGAACATTTCATACTTTCGAATATCATTATCTGAAACCGAACGTCGAGCAAATCGCATTGCTTCTTCAAAGTGAGCTCTTGTTATTTCGGGTACTGGATCATCTTCATCCGTCTATAAAACGTTAAAAGAATTATATGAAATTTGTTGTTAAATTTAAAAAAATAATTTCAACAGTTACTTGAATAAATATACACTTACATCCATGGAAACTGAAGGATTATTCATACGATCCTTTTCTCTACGTATTTCTGCTTCGATGCACTGTCTAATAGCTAATTTACAGGCACGTTGACAAATTTCTGTCAAATCGGCACCAGAAAATCCATGAGTTACTTTAGCAATATATGATAAGTCCACATCTGATGCTACAGGAGATTTTCGTAAATTAGCTCTAAAGATGGCTTCACGTGATTTTTCATCCGGTAATGGAATATAGATCAATTGATCAAGACGACCCGGACGAAGAATAGCAGGATCAATAATATCCGGACGATTTGTAGCACCAATAATAAAAACATTCTTTTTGGCACCCATGCCATCCATTTCAGTTAAAATTTGATTTATTACACGATCAGCTGATCCACCACCATCACCAACTGATCCTCCTCGAGATTTAGCAATTGAATCTAACTCATCAAAGAATAATACACAAGGTGCAGCTGATCTTGCCTTATCAAATACATCTCTGACATTAGCTTCAGATTCCCCGAACCACATAGTCAATAATTCTGGTCCTTTGACAGAAATAAAATTTGCTTGACATTCATTGGCAATTGCTTTAGCCAATAATGTTTTACCACAACCAGGTGGTCCATAGAACAATACACCTCTTGATGGTTGCATACCAAATTTCAAGAATTTGTCTGGATGTTCAACAGGATATTGAACAAGTTCCTGTAATTCCTTCTTAACATTTTGAAGACCACCAACATCATCCCATGTAACTGTGGGCACTTCAACGATTGTTTCACGTAAAGCACTAGGACTGCTTTTAGTCATTGCATATTTAAAGTTATCCATCGTAACAGCTAAAGAAGCTAAAACTTCCGCATCAATCTGATCATCTTCCAAATCGATTAAATCCATTTTTTCACGTATTTGTTGTAAAGCAGCCTCGGAACATAATGAAGCTAAATCAGCACCTACATGTCCATGAGTTTCAGCAGCAATTTGCTCTAATTCTACATCGTCAGCAAGTTTCATATTTTTGGTATGAATACGCAAAATTTCAAGACGGCCAGTGGCATCGGGAATTCCAATATCAATTTCTCTGTCAAAACGACCGAAACGACGTAAAGCTCCATCAATACTGTTTGGACGATTAGTAGCAGCCATCACAATAACGTGTGAACTTTGTTTCATACCGTCCATCAATGTCAATAACTGCGATACAATACGTCGCTCAACTTCACCATGAGTTTTTTCTCGTTTAGGAGCAATAGCATCAAGTTCATCGATAAAAATAATAGCAGGTGAATTCTTTTCTGCTTCTTCAAAAGCTTTACGTAAATTACTTTCTGATTCACCAGCAAGTTTACTCATAATTTCAGGGCCTGAAATAATTAAATCATTTTTATTAAAATAATATATTACAAAGAAAAAAGTAAAACATATTGAGTTAAGTAAATAGAAAAACGTTAGATTGCTGACCGTTGATGAGGAAGAAAAATGCTCCTGTTTCGTTAGCGACAGCACGTGCAATAAGAGTTTTTCCAGTACCAGGTGGCCCGTATAACAAAATACCACGTGGTGGTTTTACTCCGATAGCTTTGAATAATGAAGGATGACGTAAAGGTAGTTCAACCATTTCTTTAATCTGTGCAAGTTGCTTACGTACACCACCAATATCATCATATCCAACTGCATTTAATGCTTCTTCTTCTTCCTACAAATATTACATTAAATAATTTATTTTTATAATGGTCAAATAGACAAAGCAAAGGGGATTTTATTTACCTCTCGTTTAATGGGCTCGCCTTCACAATGAATAACGGTATCGGGAGCGACAATACAGTATGGACTTGGATCAGTTTCTACTACTTTAAATTCAACAGCCCTCATTCCTCCACGAACAATAAAATTGTCATCTTTATAAACTGGGCGATATGCTTCAAGAAAATATGGTTTCAGGTAGACTTCAAATAAATTTCTGAAATTTCAGAAAAAAAAGATTAATTGTTTGCCAAATGGAACAAAAATAGACAACCTTTGAATTTTTCATAGCAATTAGTACTAACATTTGTACTTTTCATCTACTAAGATTCTACCTGGTAAACTAAGGTTGTCTATTTCAATTTAATAAAAACATGCTAGGCAGCTCATTATACTCTTAGGAGCATAATGTACTTTCCAGGTAACTGCTATATCCTTAATAAGATATTTTCAAATATCTGTAGATTATTGTAGAAAAATCAGATAGTTCAAGTTTGACAAAAAAATAAGTTAAGTCGAACATAAATCTTTCTTACCCAGTAAGTCCTTCAACAGTGTCGTCCATTGGCAAAACGTGAATTCTTTTGCCATATTTGACACTTGGACAAGGTTGAATTGAGACAACATCACTTAAACGAACGCGCAAATTATTTCGTACAACTCTGTTCATTCGTATTTTTTCATTGGGGCAAGTATCATCAGATAATACAATACAAACTGTTTCTTTACGGCGTTTGCCTTTAAGCAAGACTGTATCACCTCGGAACAGTTGAAGCTCACACATCTTTTGCTCTGATAAAGCAACGACCGAATTATCATCGTTTACTGCTTCTTCTACTAATAACCTGTTTGGCTTATCTTTTTTCCGCAATATTGCAGTTGCTAAATCATCACTGAAAAACAAAAATTACTCATATATTACATTATTAACTTGTAAACAGGCCAATATACGATGAAATAATTATAATTAATTTCTATTAAATGACATGTAATGCATATTTCTTTATAATGGCAATAAATGTTGTTAATTGCAAATTTTCTATAACTATGACAAATAAGGAAAAATGTCTGTCACGTTTATGTTGAGGAGCCATTATTGTTGATCAAACGTAAAAATAAAAACAGAAAATAAAGGATATGTACAGTTTTAGTTGTTATAGAAACAATATTTATTGATTTTAAATTATTTATTCAAGTTATTTAATTATGTATTTCAATAGTAAAAACGAAATAAAGAATTAATTATGAAATATAGCATCAGGAAGACATGATGACAACGTAAAATTGAGGGGGTAGCCGTGCGTTGGAATCGTTACGTGCATGAATCACATTCGCCGGTTGAAAAAGTTATTATTATAATCAGAAATCATTTTAAAAACATATTTATAATTTGTTGTATTAAATTTATTCTTACCTTTTTTGATCACCCATCTTAAATTTTTAACTTGATTTATGAAATTTAAGGATTATCGTTCCAATTTCTAATCTTCACTACGAATCGCACCAACTGTACGAATGTAACAACAGCAAGCAAAGCTAAATCAGACGCAAGCTTCTCTCCGTTAGAATTGAGTTGAGAGACATCTAGAAGAGCTAATAACAATATTACATTTATTACCTACAGTTGTTATTTTTTTATTTTTTTTTTAGGGGAGAAAACAAATAGGTATTTCAGAATTTAAAAAAAGATTATCTTACGTGAAAATTCTAATAATATAGTTTTTTTACTGTTATTGTAAAACAAAACTTTTAAAATATACGTAATTAGAAATTGTCCATCAAATTTCTCATAAGATAATTCATATGGAAGAATGTATTATCACCATCTATTGTCCATTGCATTTTGCTCCTCCACAACTATGCAAAGTGACAGAAAACAGCTGATTGAATTTTTTCGATTACGTAGATAATAGTAAACATTTTATTTTTTGATATTTGTTTTTAATTCGTATCTCTAAAAATTATAAATATTGCTTAGGTTAATCGCTTTTACATGATATAAGAGATATTTTGAAGAGTAAATATTATAAATCTTTATTCTATTTGTACTAATGTAATCTAATATTTTCAAACAATGCCAGCGTTACTCATTTCAGTGTCCTACATTGTATTATAATTTTATAACGATCATTTTTTGACTCATTCGGACTTTGTACGATGAATGTAGCGATCTCGATGAACGATAAAAATCACAATCAGTAAGTAGCTAATACAATTGAAAATTATATTGATAAAGAAAATAACTATTCTAATTTTCTATTTCTTACAGAAATAGATTTTATAGAAATTCTGTAAAAAGAAAATATTGGTATAATATTTCAAGTTTTGACAATAGAAATAATAATTTTGGTGAAGTGAAGTTTTAAAAATAAATTATTATTCTAATAAATTATGTGATAAATCAAGTGAAAAAAAGTCATATAATCATAAAACAGCATGGAAAGTATCGGCGGAATACCTGTTGAATGTTTGAAATCTGGAGAATTGTCTAGAATATGGTCTGGCTGGTCCTTGATGAAAGACAGAGAAGTTATAAGAGAAGCTTCAGCCAAAGGAACACACATTGATCTGGCATATCAATTTTTATCTCATAGAAATAGTTGGAATATTGATGAAGCAAAAAATTATTTTGATGAGCAGGTCAAAATATGGATTGATGAATTAATTAACAAACATCAGGTTCATCGAGCTTCTCATATATTACAAAACATAAAAAAAGATCCTCTAGATTATATGCGACAAATTTGTGTTACCTCTACGAATTTTGAAGTAAGGAATTATTTAATTTCTTTTCTAATTCCTAGGCAAGGATTGACTAAAGAAGATACTGAAGTTTGGGAAATAATTAAATATTTGAAACTGTATGAAGAGAAACATGAAAAAATATCTGCAAAATGTTTAAAAGCATTAGATAATGTTGAATTAAATTATCCAAAAATAGATAATATTTCTATACGAGAAATTTTGAATCTTCCATGTGATGTTAAAAATTCTTTAATAACAGAATTATATTTTCTTACTAATGAACCATGCCTGTTAGAAAGACTTGAACCTGACGTCGTATGGAATTACCTTTTGTCAAACGACGATATTAAATTATTAATTGATTGGATTGATATCCAAATGAATGATAAAAAAAGTATTGTTATTCTAAGATACATTTCAGAAGTATTTAACCGATTTAAAATTAGTGATAAAATGATTGAAGATATTGATTATTCTAGTGCATCAATTCCTGTAAAAGAAATTTTACTCAATTATTTTGCCCGGTAAATAAGTTATTATAAAGTATTTGTGAATGCAAATTTAATGTCATTTAATATTAATTTTATTACAGATTTGGAAAATTGATAGAAAAAGAGAAACGAGATGTCAAACTCACATTATCAAGATTATTTAGTGCTCAAATAAATTTCTCAGAATTCGAAAAAGTTCTGTATTCGCGATGGTGTGATTCAAATGAAGATCATTTCTTTGCAAGAGTTCATTCGATTATTTATTATCAAAATACTTCGAACGATTATAATGAAGAATTATATTTAAACGATCAAGAATTATTGGATGTATTTAATAAATTAAACCAAGCTACTCATTTCGATCAAAAAGAATTTAATCTTGCAATTTGTAAAACCATTAATAGAATTTCCGATAATTCTCAAGAATATTTGAAGGAAAATCCGTTTATGTTATTTTATTTATTTTTATCTAATTTCAAAAATTATCACAATTTCAAAGATATAGAAATGGTCGATACCTCATTTACAGAACTAAATTTTAAAGAACTTAATAAACTTATTAAAAATTTATTTACAAACTTACCTTATTTTAAAGAAGCGATAGATAAAGTATCACAAAAAGATGATATTACGATGTATCAAATGCTTCAAGGTTTTGAAAATTTAGATGTTTATGAATTATTTAAGTGGAGACAAAAAGGCGAAGTTTTGCCAAATTTTAGAAGTGAAAATTTAATCAAAAGATACGGTCATAAAGAAGAATTAACTTATAAATATTATTTAAAGGAAGCCAGACCAAGTATGGCAGCATATATTTTCCAAAATAGACACAATAAAATACAAAACAATTATTCTAAGATGTAAGTTTAAATAATTTTTTAAAATATTTATTTTTTTATGACTTAATTATTAATTTATCGTATCATTTATTTTTAGAAAATCACGAATAGCATTACACTCACATATTTTAGGCCTTAAAAACATTAATGATCGAAAAGTAATAAGTACTTGTATCGCATTTATTGAATTTCTTGGAATAAATTCGGAATATTTACGATTTCATGTCACTGCAGCTGATTATGTGAAAAACAACTTGAATATTTCTATAAGTACTATATTTTTTAATTGATATTTTATTCCTCTGCTGATAATATTATAAAAATGAAGGGTTGTACCCATCATGAGAACGATAAATGTAATATACTTTTTCGTTTATCTTTTAGATGACCTTCTTGAGTCGGTGACTTATCAGAACTCAAAAAATTTGGCAATTTTAATGAGTCACTTAGAACGCAGCTTTAAGAATGAATGCGACAATGTCTCGATTAATGATGTTGACAAATTTATAACAGTATTAAAATCATGGAATTTAATTATTCAATTTGCAAGTTTACACAATACTATATATCCATCATTGTTTTTGAAATATTTTGCTAGAAATAAATTATGGTTTGAATTTGTTTTGGTGGGACATATTTTTAGCTATCCACTCGAGCAGGTGAAAATTATTTTAATAAAAAAATGCAATATGTTGTTTATTTCTAGATGATAATAATGAAGTTATTGATTTTAGCTTTTAGAGAATGCAGCTGAATTCAAAGATTTAAATATACGTGAACATTTGTTGATTTCCTTAAGTAATTCTCATATACTTGCCGAGGCGTGCACCAACAATGATTTAAGTAAAATTAAACCATCATTAAATCTATACAAAACTCATATGAAAAATGTAAGTTTTACAATAATGAAATAAATTTATTTATCTTATCAATCACAGATAGATAATGAACTAATTATTGTAATTTTTTTTAGGGATCCTCTTTAAATCATATGACAGAATCATCGAGTAACTTACAGTATTTTCCATTAAATCAAATAAATTGCATCTACAATCACAATCTATGGGTAACCATCTTAAAATATCATCAAAGTCCAGATCCACCAGGTGCTTTATTAAAAGCATCTCGTGAAAATAACTCTCCAATACTTACAATTTTGGCCGCTTGTTATGAACCATCTGCTACATCTGTTTATTGTTATTCATGGCTTATTATTTCCGTTAACAATAGTATATTAACTAATGATTATATTGATTGTTTAAAAGATCAAATTTGGTCTCCACGAAAAGTATCAGATCTCTTTCGAAGAGTAATTTCTCTTGGTTATATTGATACTATAAGCCGAGCTTTTCAAATATTTATGCCAGATAATTGTTTATGCGCTTTTTTTAATTTTCTCGTTCAATATATTAAACATTGTGAGTTCAAAGTGTGTATTAAATACTTGGAGAGTTTTTTAATCAGTTGCTCTCTATTAAAGAGTAATAAAATGATTGATTGGGACGACTCTGAAATGGCCTATACAAATAATGAATATTGGATTGCTATCGTATCTATTGAATGTATTTTAACAGCTTTAGGCAAGTGTTTACAGAGCATTGAATTGCAGACAAAATTACTTGCGATTCTCGTAGAAAATAAGTTTAACTCTTTATTGCACTTTGATAAATTGAATTTTAAAATGCTTTGGGAAATCGTGACAAGTCTTGAAAGTACAAATGTAAAAATTAATTTTACAGCTATAAGGTTAACTGAAAATAGTTCAAATATCAGAGAAGAAGTTGAGAAATGTATTGAAGCATTAATGGGTACTGGTAATTTTAATGTTGCTTTAGAATTAGCAAAGATTGTAGGTCTACCTTGTTCTAAGATAATTTTAAATCAATATCGAAATCGATTAAAGTCTAAGATGATGAAAAAAGATGAAGAAAATGGAAAATTTGATAAAACATTTTGGAAAAGATGTGCGCTTGATATACAAAAGTATAATGTAGGTTTTGAAGATGCAGCAGCTTTTTTTGTAGAGCATGCAGACAGAGTACAATCAGATAAAGAGCGTTATGAGATTCTACATTTAGCTCATGAAATATTGAAACCAATATCGACACATCAGCAGACACTAGATACTATAGAAATGGCCATGTGGAAAGCATGTATTCTAGCTGGACCTAACTCAATAGAAATTGAGACTGAAAAACGCTCATTTAATAAACTAAAAACAGAATTGTTATCTGAAGTTAGTAATCTTCAAGTTAGCTGTATTTTATATAACAAAAATGAAGAAAAAGCAGTTGAAGCTTTAATTAACAGATTTATTGATGCAGAAGATTTGGAAAAAGCACTTCGAATTAGTGCAATTTTCAATTATCAACATACAGATTTAAAAATTCTGATGTTGTGTTTGAGTTTAGCTGAAGGAGAAATAAGTCCAAAGGTATTAAATATAGAATATAAAATGCTCTTAAATGAATTAGATAATGCTGAATCTCAGAGGTTCATTACAAAGAGTAAAAATTTTCAAAAAAGATATTCCGGATATTTTTCTAATCTTTCATCGCCAAATAGAACTCTTGATAAAGATCTATCTACCTCAATCAGCAGTTCACAAGAGATAGTTGATGAATCCGGAATAAATTGTATTACATTGCTAACAAAATTGAAAATGAATTTAAAATATCAATCTAATGTTGCAAATAAAATATTGTTACTGTGTAGATTATCTGAAATTCTCAAGAAAAGCTATAACTCATTGTTAACATTAGAAGATCCAATGAAAATTTTATCAGAGTTGACGACAATCAGTCATGAAAATAAATTTGATCTTATGCAAGACGTTATAAATATTTATAAACTAAAAGATAAAGAAGTAACGAAATTTTTCACAGAACAAATTATTCTGCATATAACTACACAAGTTGGAGAGGATTTAGATGATTCTATAGCAATGTGGAATTATCCTCTTTCAAATAATTTACTGATCCTTAGTTTTTGTAATGATGCCTCTTTAATAGGTTGGGAATTGATAAAAAATGTTAATGTACAATTTAGTAGTTCTTATACACTAAAAAAAGATGAATTTATATTAAAAGTTATTGTGGAGCTCTTAATTCATGCTCATTATTTTTTTACTTTTGACTGTAATATGGAAGGTATCGCTTATGTCTTAAGAAAGTGTCGAGTTCTTTCGCATGGTCTACAACAATTAAAATTGTGGAATTTATTGGTGAGATTAATGACTGGAATCGGTCGATTTACGGAAATGAATTACATTTTACAAATTTTAAAAGAAAATCATCAATTTGAATTGTTATTGAGGAAACGATTAGTCAATAGATCAGGATTACGAATAGCTTTATTGGAATTTTGTAAAAAACAATATCCTAATGATAAAGAATCATTTAGTTATGTTGCAGAACATTTTTTACTTTACACTGAAAATGCGATAAGATGGGAAAATGAAGCTAAAACGGTTATAAGAGAGCTTATCAAAGAAATAAGAAGAGAACGTATCAGGTTAATGAATAATTTTAATGGTCCAATAAAATTAACAAAAAAGAATAGAATAGAAGAGAAATTAGAAATGGCCATGTCAAATTATACTCATGCATCAGAAAATTATTTAAATGATGATAAATTGAATATGGCGAGTCGTTGTTCACATCAAGCACAATTAATTGCCTTACAGTTATCTTTGCTTAATAGTGTTTCTTATAATCAGGAAGCCATATGTTTATTAGATTTAAATGATGAAGAAGTTGCTCGAGTAATGTCACAGTCTTTGACATTCCCACAAATACTTATTCTTATTGAAGCTTATAATCATAATGCTGATTGGTCAAGTCTGATTTATCATCATGTAATTTTAAATGGAGATATTAAATTTTTAAAGGATTTTCTGGCTAACAAGCGCCTTACTTCTGCCATCGTTCAAGACTGTGTTTGCAAGTAATTATTTTTTAATATTACTTAAGTTTTACTATTAAGTTATATGTTAAAATAGAGTTTATTTAATTCAGAAAATTTAACAAATATCTTTAATTTCATGGAGAAATTTTCGTTTTATTCTATTATAAAAAAGGTTGCAATATTTGAAAAATAAGGTAGTGCTCTGAATAATGAAATACTTTAACGTTTGACTCGCTGCTGTGAAGTGACATGAAAGTATTTTGAATTGAAATTTGAATCGATGTTGTTAAACAATGAAATCCAATACCATTATATAAAATTCCAATGCAACATTTTGATATAAAAGAAAGAAGCAACTGAATAGTATTGATAAAGAATTTCCTTTTTAATAATACTAATAAAATATAGAGAGATATTATTGAATTGTTAAATAAAATAAATTTTTTTCTTTTTATCTCAATTGTAAATAATATTATTGAAATGTATGTAATTTTCTTTCAGATATCGAGCAGAGAAATGTATATCAAAACAAATGACACTGAGTATGCAAAGCCTAATCTCTGAATTAACTGATGTAGAATGTAAATATATATTAGCAAGTCAACTTGGATTTAAGAATATTATTGAATCGATGCTATCTGATTCAGCTATTAGTTCATATTTGAAAGATACCGTCTGGAAACGAGGTTTTAATCCTCAAAAATTTATAGGAGAAAATTTTCATGGTTAATTACAACGATGACTCTTAAAAGGATAAATGAATATATAGTTTATTAAAACATAATTAATTATTTTTAAATAAGTTTAATGATATAAATGTAAATATTATTATTATAATATATATGGTATATAATTAATTGTAAAAAAATTTTTATAGTACATAATTTTTCAATAATGTCCAGCATTTCACTCTCTTTCTCTCTCTCCTCAACCACATATCTATTTCTAACTGCGTATTAAATACGTAAAATTACTCTGTATATAAAGCTCTGATAAAAAATTCGTTCAACAATAAAAAACAAAAAAATAGAATTGTCGAAAATAATTTACAATAGATCTACAATTGTTGCAATTTATTAACTAATTCAAAAATAAAATTAATAGAATCTGTTACTCCGTATCACAAGTAAATGAAAGTACAGATTAAGGAGATTCTGAGTAGTGAGATATTGAATAATTACGGCAATTAAATAATCAATAATGAATCTATTGGAAAGTAAAAGGCACTCGATTTGGGTAAATTATTCAACGTAATTGATTCTTTGATAGGATCATTCTTTAAAAGTTGTATTAATTTAAATAATTACTAGGTACGTATCCAGTTTTCCCATCACGATCTTCCATTAGCCACCATTCAGTATTTCCTTTTTCATCCTTGGATCTAATGAGCTTTAATTCTTGGTCTTCTTTAACGGCAAGAGTACCAGGTATGGCTTCATTAAAGTCATACCGAGCGTGGTAAAACTGAAAAAATAAAATAAGACATTTTTTACAATTATAATAGTACCAATGACATGAGTAATCTATCTCCAGTTATTGTAATTCTGATTTATCGTAACACATTTAAGTTACTCTTTTCAAGTACTTTTGGTATATATATATATATAATTGTACACTATTTATTCTAAAAATGAAATAAAAAATAAATAAAAAATCTACACATTTTATTTCTAAAATATATTTTAAAATGCATGTATAATAATACTAATAATAATATACAAAATGATTAAATTATAATTAAATGATTGATGATATTCAGGAATATTTTGTTTGTAAAAAATGAGAATTTATCATTTATTGAAACTCACCATAGGCTTTAAATTTTGATATCTTTGACTAGGCTCAGGTTCAGGCTCAATAGGTAAATTTTGATAATTTTTATTATCATTATGGATTTCATCAAGATTTAAATACCATGAAGATTGTGATAAACTTGAAGGAATAGTTTTAGATTGTTTTTCAGGACTTTCAAGTGATATAAGATCAATATTAGTTATTTTTTCTGGCGAATCCAAGGATATGAGGTCAGGTAAATTTGTGCGAGAGTCGACAACATCATTATTTATAGTTGGAACTAAAGATGAAGATTGCAATTGAGCTAAAGGTTGTAAAACATGGCGTGGAATAAATCCTTGGGTAGTACCATTGTCAACAAACCATCTAGAAGAATCTCCCATCGGATCTTGAGTCTTTATTATACCTACAATCGTTCCTTTGGCTGCTCCTAAATCTAAATCTGAAATACTGATTAAATCCTCTTGCACAACGTACAATTTTTCTACTCTAAACCTTTGCCTTAATGCAATTCTTGCTTTTTCACTTTGAAGACACATATCTACTTTAGCTTCTTCAACTTTAGGATTAACTCCAGCAAAGCTAAATCGAGAAATTTGATTCCAAAGTAAGTTATGATTAATTAAAAATGTTTGAAGAATATCGCCTGATGCTGATTGAGTTATAGATGTAGGTAAATTTAAATATTGCTGCATGATTCTACCATTAAGTAATTTCCGTGCATTTGTAAATTCTCGAATACACGCAACGATAATTTTCGTTGATGCTTCAATCAATATTGGTAATTCTTCTTGAAGTTGTTGATTTAAAGCTTCATAATTACTTTTTGTATTCGTTAACTCTTCCTGGATTGCTCGCGATTCTTTGTTTTTTTCAGCTTTTGATATGGCATTATCGTAATCTAATAATTTATCATGTCTTTTAGTAATTAGCATTGCAGGCCCCTCAAGCATGGTTATTAAAGAATTAATAGGCTGAATAACTTTTTTGTTTATTGAATCTCTAAATAATGCCATGTTTTTTGAAGCAATCATCATTCGCATCAGGTGATACTGATAAACTTCATTGTTATTCACTCCAGAATAGAACTGATTAATATAATCAGATATTAATTCTCCACAAGCACTATCTTCATTTAAATAACTGAGACACTGCTCTATATCATCTATTAACTGTGATGCACATTTTTCTAAAGATTTAAATTGTCTTTCAAGCTCTTCAAATACTGGATCTGGAGGTATATTTGTCAATCCCAAAGTAGATGCCAATTTTGCACTTAATCTACTAGACTTTTTAGCAACTGAATGCATATTTAGTTTTGACATTTTACCTATTAAAGTATTGTCACAATCTAAATATTTAGAAACAATATCTTTTCGTCTTTTGTACTCGTTGATGTATAGCGCAACAGCTGTCATTGCTTTACCAGCTTGTTCAATACCAACTTTGTCAGGATGTCCATCTTCTGTGCATTTCAATAATTCCGATAACATCAAATGATACTTTAAGATTCTTTGTACCGGTTTGATTAAAATTGAACTCATATCAAAACAGGCAATTTGATACCTAAGAGTTTCAATCCCTTTCTCGAAGACTATCATTATATCTCTGTTTTCTTCATACTTTTTTAATAAAGATAGAGCAGCTTCCTGATTACTACAATATTTTACATATACCGATTGAAGTTTATCAGCCATTTGTAAAAAACATGGAGATATCATTTGTTCGTTTTCATCTTTACCTTTCATCGCTTTCAATAGAGAATCTAGAAGTTCTTCAGCAACGTGAATTACTTCTAAAATATTACCAAACAAAATTGATACATCTATTCCTCGTATTTCTAACATACTTGGATCATATAGATGGAAAGTTTCATATGTTATTTTTAAATCTCTAACATATTCTTTTTCAGTAATTACAAGCTCGGATATAACATTTTGTCTTTGGTCTGCTCTTTTTCGCTTTGCTTCTGCGATTTCATCAACTTTAATGTTCTGTTGATTTTCATTTTCATTCGTTACTTTATTTGTTATAGATGGTTTTGATAATGGAGTAGAACCAGGAACAGGAGCTGGAGGTGCTGGACGATGAGGTTCTGATAATCTTTTAGGTTTTATTTCCTCAGCTTCAGTTAAATTTCGCTCAGGATTCCGAATTACTACGAAATCTTCGATATCTTGTTCTACTTCTGTAGGTGCTTGAGTTTCATCACTTAAGTATCCACGCGGACAAAGTCCTATGTCTCCATGTTTATTTTTTACACTAAGCCAATCATCATTAACTGTTTCTACTACTGTTACAATTTCTCCTTCGTCTATACTCAAGTCTCCATTCATTTGTGCATTGAAAGTATATTGCACTTTTATCTTATCTCCAGGAAATAATTTTTTATATACTCTTATTGCTTCTAAATAATTTTTTGGAGTTTGTTCATCATTATTCTCATAACAATCAACAATTATACTAACATAAGACGTTGGAAAAATTCCTATTTGATTATCTATAGTTCCCTCACTCCACTCTGAATCAATATGTTTAATTAAATGAACTACTTCTCCAGCTTTGAAGTTTAATTCATTCGGGAATTGAGCATTAAACGGGTACAAAGTTATGGCATGAGGTTTCTCTCCTAATAAATTTAATTTATGATTTGTATTGTTAGTTGGAATATGAGTTTCATATACGTCTGTATGATGAGGTTGAGATCTTGCATTAGGAAATAAATCATAGTAAGAAGGAGCTGGTTCTTCCATTGATAGGCTTGGAACTGAATATCCGAAATCTTTAAAAATTTTTCCTTCACTTGCAACTGATTCCGGAAAAGGATCCATGCTCCCTCCAAAGGCTTGATCACTTAAATCAATACCACTGTCAGTATGATCTTCAATATATATTATAAAGCTTTCTGGAAATGTTCCTTTCCTTCCATCCGATGTAACGCCAAGCACCCAACCGTCTCCTAAAATTTCTAATACTGTCACTATTTCACCTGCAGCTAAATCCAATTCTTCATTTAATTGTGCTTTTAGCGATGCTTTTACTTTTGCCTTTTTTTTTACTTGTCGATTTGAAGTATTTTTCTAGAAGAAAATAAGATCCTAAATAATGTGACACTTTTCCACCTATAAAATATTTATATGATTGTTTAAACGTCAAAGACAAGTAAACGTACTTTAAGTATTGAAGGATTCAATAACCAAACATGAGTTGATGGAAATATTCCAGTTCTTGAATTAATACGACCAAAATACCAGTCAGTACCAACTTGCTGCTCTCCAATAACAAGTTCTCCTAAAGACAAAAAACCAATTGATTTAACTGATATAATAAAAAATAAAAGCCAAGACAAAATCAGATTTAAATTTTACCTGCAGAAAATGATAGATCTCCTTCTTGTTCACCTTGAAATGGAGCAATAGCTACGAAGATATTTTCAGAATTGTCACAATTAGGTAAATCAACCTTATGTAAGTGATTAGAAGGAAATGAGCCTCTCTTGTCGCGAGATTCTCCGTAATACCAATATTTATCAATGACGTCATGGATCTGAAACGACAAGTAATGATATTTAGTAATTTTAAGATAAAATTCTTAGAATGACGTTTTTATATATATATATAACGTGAGCCACTTGTTTTTGTTGTGTACCAAAAAAAAATCTCCTTTTGATAGACTCAATTCACCATCAACTACTGTAAAAAAATCATTGATGACTTTCGTTAATGTTCCTCGTTCCATGTTAATTTAAAAATAAATTTATCGTATTTAATTTAAAAAAATGAATAAAAATTAAAAATTAATATAAAAAATAAAGCTCTGACAGATTTCACCGTCATTGGTGACGACTAATAAACGAGAAGTTAGCCGTTCATGAGCCACGTGGTCAAGTTTAAATCGATTTAAAACTTTCGAGGATAGAATCGATTGTACGGAATGAAGTTATAACACAACTACTCACATGTTAGAGAATAAATAAATCTATAGTTATTGATAAAGTTTAATATTATTTTATTAATAAAAATAGCAATTGTTGATTTTTAAAAAAACATGGATAAATAATTTTACAATTGATAATTGTTTTTAATTATTGATAAACAAAGGATTCGATTCAAGTGTATTAATGCTGGCTACATATTATAACAAAATACGGTTTATTACATAATGAAAATAAAATCTTTTTAGTAATTTTATGATTATTGATTTAAGAAATATGAATGATGACAAAAAAAATTCTGTGGGAAAAACAAATAACCTTGATGATATCAACAAGAATAAAATATTAATATCGATAAAAGATTTTCAAGATAAACATTCTGATTGTGTAGGATGGATTTTTCCTCTGGGAGGTGCAACTTTTATGGGCAGTAAGAATGGTTTTCAATTCAATTTTATTCAGATATTCAATAATTGATGATAAATCATATGTTCATATTTCTTTTTTACAGGTTTATTCATAGTTCCTTATGCTATGAAATCTATAACATTCATACCTCTCACTGTTGAATTGAGATTATTAACAGGATTATTGAGTGCAATTCCTCTATCATACTCTGTTATGAAAAGATATAAAGAACGGTGTGAAAAACATGTAGAAAATACCTATTATTATAGAATTAAAAAATAGATAAATATAGTTTTAAAGAAGATGCATTTTGTTCAAAGAATTATGCGTTTAACGCAGCTTAATTCTTTAAATAATATTTTAAAATATAAAAAAAATTGTTACCCTTCATTTGAAGGTTTCTCAAAATTTTTACATATAACTAACGATGAAATGTCAATGGGTGAATTGAATCATACCTCAGAATATCAAGAAATTGCTCAACAATTTCTGAATCCTAGTATGTATGGTCATGGAGTGTTGATAATCCAGCCGTATATTAAATGGGGAAAAGCAAAAAGAAAAAATACATCACCTGATCTTCAGCTCCTAGAAGCTGAAGCTTTGGTTAGAACATTGCCAAACTGGTCAGTTATCGGTTCAGAACGTATACCATTGATGACTTTTCGTAAACATCAACTTTTTGGACGTGGAAATTTGGAAAAGTTAGCAGAAAGAGTTAAATCTAATCCTAAAATTACTGCAGTATTTATTAGTTTAGAACTATTAAGACCTATTCAAACTGTACAACTGCAAAAAATTTTTGGAGTTGATATTTATGATCGTTACTCAATCGTCATACAAATATTTCGTGAGCATGCAAAAACAGCAGAAGCGAAATTACAAGTAGCTGTAGCTGAATTATCGCTCATATGGAAGAAAATCGCATGGGCGAGTGTAGACTCTAATGGCAGAATAAATTTAACAGAAAGGCGTAAAATGGTTTTACATGCTCGGGAAAATAAATTAAACACGGCATTGGCAAAATTAAAAGCACACAGAAAGTTAATTCGAAGTAGTAGGACATTAAGAAATATACCAACTATTGCTGTTGTAGGATATACGAATGCTGGAAAAACTTGTCTTATAAAAGCACTTACAGACGATGAATCGTTAGTGCCACAAAATAAATTATTCGCCACACTTGATACAACTTCACATGAAGGATTGCTACCTTGCCGAATGAAAGTTTTATACATGGATACAATAGGGTTCATTCAAGATCTTCCAGAAGAACTTTTAGAGCCTTTTATTGCTACTTTTGAAGATGCTATAATTGCGGTTTGTATTTTTTAGTTTTTACCAGCATTACTGTTAAAAACGATTTTAATACATTTTGACGTTTATTTTTTATCAATTGATGAGTAAATTTTCATCATTTATTGAAAGTTGTTATATAAATTTTTTGTCATCAGTTCGTTTGTCAAAACAAAATTAAGAGATTACCATTCAGGGAATGGAGAAATTAAAGAAATATTTTATTAGTCCTACAAAAAAATAGAGAAACTTTAACAGATTGTCAATAATTATTTGTCAACAATATAATTTTTTCATTAATGAACAAACAATTTTAGGATGTTGTCGTCCACGTATATGATGCAAGTCACCCAGATAGAGATGCTCAAATTCAGCACGTTCGAGAAACACTAAATAATATAATGTCAGAATTAGAAATAACCAGTAAACCAATAATAGAAGTTGCCAATAAATGTGACGTTGCACCGAAAGGAAGTGTTTCTAACGACGTTATGGCTGTTTCAGCACTGAATTTGACAGGTTATTTATTTACTTTGGTAATTTAGTTATCTGTACTCATGACAGCTTTAATCTAATTGAATTTATCGAATTTATAATTGACTTTTATTTAGGTACAGATTTATTACGAGAACGAATTGAAAAAGAACTTTTAGCAGTGACAGGACGAAAATTAATCAAGATTCGAGTTCAGTCAGGAAGTACTGCTGCTGCTTGGTTGTATAAAGAAACCACTGTCACTGATGCTACTCCAGATCCAAATAATTTACAGTATATGGTATTAAAAGTACTTGTAACAGATCTCCAAATTATGAAATTTAAAAAATTTTTGAGTGAATAGAGCTCTTAGGAATAATGTCAATAACTTATTGCATTTATTGGATGAATTATCATCCAAGGTGGCATTATTGAATTCAATTATTTAAATCATTTAGTAAATATTTCATTTATTAACTATAATTACTAATAAATTTCATTGAATGAATTATCAGTCTAATGATAAAATATTTGATACATGTTTAGGATCATGTTTTATAAACATTAATGACATTAATAGTTATTTATAAGTAAAAGATCACCAACGAGAAATAATTGAAGTGACTACGAGTCGTTCAAAAAGCACGTTCTCTGATGAAAATTTTGTTCTCTGTATAAAGTACACGTGCAGAACACGTGTCGTCTTGTAGCATCATATGAGTCTTTAAATATCAAACAAATGGCACGTGGTTGAAGAAGATCTAGTGACTTTTTTCTCAATTATGCTTTTTTATATTCATTCACAAAATGAAGTGAACGAAAAATAATACAAATAACAGTTATATGGGGTTTGGCATAAAGTAAATATAGAAAAAGATTTGCGTAAATATGTAATGTGATTGTCCATTAAGTGAAGCTTGTACAATTATAATATGCCCGGTGCTTTAATTACGAATTGTCGATTCGATACACTCGTTATGAGTCGATGATTACACGACCGATTGACTGTACTGTATTGGAACGATGTTCGTAAACACAATATTCAAGTTAAATAACATTGTATGGTCTATCAATTAATTAACGCTCCGATGCTTTTTATTTCTCATTGTATAAACCAATATTAATATTATCATTTTAATTACACCATTTTTCAAGCTTTTCACCATTTAAACTATTCGATTGAATTTTTTTATAATAATTATAAATTACTTAATACAATTGAAATGTTAGTATTAAATTAAAATTTATCTATTAATATTAGTTTTTATAAATATATTGATTAGGTAGTACGATAAATATAACTCAATTTAGTTTCAATGAATATAAATGTAAATTGTTTTGTATATCTTTGATTACAAAAAAAATGTTTCTGTGCATCTAGAAACAAATATAATACAAAGAACATTCGTAAAAATGAAAAATTGTAAAAGAATAGTATCTAAAGTAAGATTAAAAAGAGATTTCTAATACGTGCTCCAGCAAATCAACAAAGCCCATCCATCTTGTAACTTTTTTATTTTTTTTTAATCCATCAAATTCGCTTCTTTCTAGCTTTTAGTTTGACTATTTTACATTTTGTATAATACACAGGTAAACCATGACTATATCACGTAACAACCAAAAGTCCTATCCCTTTTTAAATATCTACCTTTGCAGGTAAAAACTTTTTGTTTTGCAGGTAAATATCCATACAAAAGAATTTTAACAACGACATAAATAGTATTTTTTTATTAAATGCATAAATAGATGTACAGTTTATTATTATTTCCATTTAACAGTGTTTGGCCGAAAAATTTACATAAAAATTTATTTGAAATTTTTATTGAAGAGAAGATTAAATAAATGTTTTTGATTGGTCATTTTCTAGATGTGAGGTTTGATTTGATCATAGAATATGAGTATTTGAAATAATCAATGTAATTTGAACGGTTAGTAAAATGAAGCAGATGGCGTTAGTGTTGGCCGCCTAGCGGCTGAGTAGAGTAAATAAAGTTGAGAGTTGAAGAGCCCAGTTCAGTCCCGTGAGTGATCCGGGCGAGTACAAACGTAAGTGAGTGGCGTGGCGTGTTTCGACGAATATAAAACTACCATCGAGCGTCAAGAGGGTGCAACGGTGCTGAGGGTGTGTGTACGAGACGCGTGAGAGAATAGTAAAGTCGTGAGGAGCCACTGGAAAACAAGGAGGATTAGAGAGTTAGTGAAATGTGTTAAGTTAATTAAAATACCAGTCATTGTGTTTCTTAGATAGTTCAATTGATCCGGCGCGAGAGTAGCTGTCACTTCGATCGCCATTTTAGCGCCGTTGAGCAGGGGATTGCGCGCCGTTGGTGGACTTGATCATGGTTAAAGAACAGTGAACCCTCGTGTGTCTATTATTTGGTATGTTTTATATATTTGTATTGAAACTTTTTGTGATTTGACGACAAGTCTCAAGATAGTAGAGACAAGAGAAAGATAACACAAATATGAGAAGATAATTAATGAATAAAGATAGATTGAAAGAAAGATAGAAAGAAAGCAAAGTGAGAGCAAGCCGGCAAGTTGAGGGAGAGTGTTTCACGGAGTGTGCGTGCGCGTGTATTTGTGTGTCGTGGGAGGCAGGGCTCGCCGTTTTCTTGCGGCTTGGCCAGTTTTTTCTCTCCGTTTCTCTGCTCCTTCTTTCTCTCCCTAACGAAAACCCTCCTCCTCTGTCCTTTTGTCTCTCTTTCTCATTCGAGAAGTAACCGCTACAAGAATTTGTAGCCCCATTTTTGTGCATTTGGGCTGAGACAACAAGACAGATTTTTGATAAATTTTTTTAAATGATACACGAGCAATAATACAATCGAACATATATATATATATATAACGGGTGAATTATTGTTGTTATAATAAACAATAGTGATAATAGGCAAAACGTTGGTGACACATCGAATTATGCACGACATCGATGCTTTCATCTAAGCTCAACACAACGTGTTCCTACGCTCCATTCGTAATTCATCTCTACCTATATGTTCTCATCGACGTTCCTGGAGCCCACGCGTCATAGTTACATTTGAAAACGTTTTAATTAAGTGATTCAACGTCTACATTCATTCAACTGTTGTAGACTTGAAAAGATCAAAATATTTCAGGCTTTTAAAAAATAAAGTGAGGTAAAGTTTACAAGTGATCGAAGTGTGTGCATATCCGTCAACTATTTTATATATCAATAAAATTAACATATAATAACAATTATTAATTAATTCATCAAATAAATATAAACAAATAAATAACGAATATAATATTATATATATATATATATATATACATAAAACAAAATAAATTTATGAGTTTAATTTGGAAGAAAATTATTAAATAATTGTTTACTGATATAGTGAAGTGGTATTTGTAAAAAAAGAAGATTAATACCGTGATAAATAAAAATAAAATTTTGTCAAAGTGATCATAAGTATTTGATAATTAAAGAGTGTTATTATATTCATATACAACTATAGAAATCTAAGAATTTTGAGTCAATATTAATGTTTGTGACAGCAGGAGATTGTTGACTCTCTTTGAAAAGGATCTAAATACGGTTAAACCTGTCTTCTTTGGTGCTGGACAGACGGGTGAAAAACAAAAAACACGAAGCAAGGTCAAGTCGGTGGTGCGTGGAGAGGGTTCTCTTTCACTTGTAGAGCGAATAGTGTGATCAGTGTGAGCGTGCAATACCGGTCGAGCGACTGAAAGGGTCGCGTGTTATCGGCCACGCGAAATATCCTATGGTAAAAGTGCTTAATCAGCTCCGTGGATAAGGGTTGTTACCTTTTTCAAGTGTGATAAAAGATCGAAGGCAACGGCCGTCCGAAATGATTCTGCGCATTTGAGGGGGCAAGGAGTGAGTTGATCGACGAGGGTGCACGAGTGCTGGAAGCCGCCAGAAACACGGTTAGTTGACTTGATAAAAAACAAAAAAAAAACCAAAGGTCATCTTCACTAGAATTTTGGACGATTCTCATAATCATGGTTGTTAAAATAGGCTATACATAGTAATTAACGAAACTTACCTTACTATTCTAGAAAATTGAGGATAAAATTGTTTTTAGTATGGACACACGCGACGCAGTAATGCCTAGAAAATCTCAATACACTTAAAACGTGTCCTCGTAATTCTCGTGTGGAATTTATGCACAAATACCGTTCGAAGACACATATATACCTGCCTTAAGACAGTTACCTGGTTGCTTCCAGGCAAGACAGGTCGACTTTTTCGTAGCTGTCCAAGAGTCAACGGGGCTGAGCCATGAGTCCGCTCGACGTCTGAATAAGGCATGCGGCTATAAAAAGGAGTTATATGATGAGACGGTCGAAATTTTTAGGCAAAAGTGCCAGGATCATTGTCTCATGCACTTGAATATGCTCATATGTATGTGTTTTTTTACTGACTGGTACGTTGATCCGTGGTAGTGGTAGTGGAATAGTAATGCTATTGAATCACTCTTCCTGTCTCTTTTTCGCTTCTTCGTGGATACCTTTGAGCTTTGCGGAATTCACCATTTGTCTGTTATTTTTTCACGTTGCTATCCACACTTTCTTCGTCCTTCATCAAATAAAAAAGTCGTCAGGGTCGACCGGGATACAAAAAATAAATGGACTCGTTACGCGACCTCTGACCATATAAATGTTTATTAAACAAAACTTCAGTCTTAGTATTTTCCCTCCTTTATGACTGCCATTAGAAGAATACTAAAACTTTAGAGATTGCAAAAATTTTTATTTTAACGACTCTTTACATCGCATTCAATGCATCACTAATAATCCATATCTGCTTTATGTTCTATCGAACTAAGTCAATTGTAATAATATTCAATCAATGAATTTTTTTCAATGTTTTTCCTACTCCAATTATTTATTATCAACTTTAATGTTACTTGGCTTGATAAAAATTATTTAAGCTCTAATGTATTCATTTTTAGTGATTAATAATAATAAAAAGAGAGAGAGAGAGAGAGAGAAAAATACAAAATCACTAACGATATAATAAAATATGATTTTTTTTTTTTTTTAATAATCAGTACTTTTCAAACAATAATTACATTAATTCTAAGAAAATGCCAAGTAATACAGACTATCTCTTCTAAGAATTACTCAGTGATATTAATTTTTTTTTCATAAAGATAAACATTTGATAAATTTAAAACAACCATTTATCTGAATAAAAAAAAAAAAACGTATATTGATAATGATTGAAATGAAATAACTTATAGTTGTTTTATATTACAGTTTTCAGATATTTTGACACCGTTTGAAAAAAAAAAAGTGATAATTTTTGAATTTCAAAGTGAGTTGAAGAGTTTTCCGTATCGTTCTTAATAATTCAAAAGGAGTAATATCTTTTATTAATTCCTTGTGGAATTCGATTAATTGGTCACAAGAATCGCGTGCGTCCGCAAGTCCTTTGCTTCTTTCTTATTTTGTACGACCTTCGATGGAAGGCGGCGATTATTAATCGAACATTTATCCGCCGGTTTGATTCAAACCTGATCGCAAATTGCCTCAAGAACGCACAACCATTGAGGCAAACGCGGCGCCTAAGGCATGGGTTGCACTGAAATACGGTCTGCTTTCGTGGCTCCCGGCATTTAAAACCGCGCCTGTGCTCCCCTTATTCTCTTCTACCCTCCCTTGTAGATGATTATAACAAAAACCGGGATAGTTTTAACCTTCCCTTTTCCCCGTTATACATATCTAATCGGCCGTGTTACTTCTTCTTTTATTCAACAGGAAATTCGTGACACAAAAAAAGTAGACTTCATTATTATCAAGAAAAAATATTTTTTGTTTAAATATCAACCATTTTAACATCTTTATTGTGCTGCTTCATTTAATTATTATTATATTTTGAGGAGATTTACATGATTTGTTATTGTAAACATATATTCAATTGAATGTAATGTTTTGATAAATATTTAATTATTTAATTAAACTGACACGATTCTGTTAAGAAGTATCGCAATTTGATTGCATTTTCTTGTACAAAGTTAACTCAAATATCATTATGATGATACAGAGACAGTTATTTATAGATTAAATGAAATTGGAGTAAAGATTGTAAACTAGATATTCACAATTAAGATTCAATGGATCATCAAATTAATATTTATTATTTTTTTAAACATTTATGTAAAATAGATTTTAATATAAAAATATTACTTAATAGAAATTAATTTTTCGGAGCAACTATTCCGCAATGAGTTAACCAGTTTTTTAAATGGACTTTTAAAGTGTAAAGAAATTAATTAGAAAAAACATGTGTAATAGATACTTACATACTTAACACTTATTATTATTAATAAATAATACTTATTAGATCATTGCAAAAGTATTTTTGCAACATCATGTCTATAAATATTAAAAAAAAAAAATTCATTAATTCATTCACTTCATTAATAATCACCCTCAGTAATATTTATTCAGTAATTGAACCTAAATAAAGAGGTTAAAATATGCAACATATTATCCATTAAATTCATTGCTATATAAATAATCAAATATTTTCTCAACGATTTATTACATTACAAAAATCACTGCCATTTTTTTCTCAATTAAACAAACAACTCTTATATAACGATTTTTTATGAACGATTAATTATAAATGAAAACTTATAATATATTAACTTAGTGTTTTTATTAGTTTTAATAACTGCGATTAAATAATTTTTTATTATAATATTTTTTCAATTATTTAATCAACGTGCATTATTTGTGTTTGGGTGCAAGCAAGACAATGCAAAACCTAGTTATCTAATTCTCGCGACAACGACGACGATGACAACGTTATAGCGACTTCTTTAGTTGACTTCCAAGTAGACTGTACGAGAAAATGTTTATTAATTACGTGAACGTGTCGGCATAGCTAATCCAAGTCTTATGCCGGACATGTTCGACAGAGTGTGACCGACACTTTGGTACGCGCGTTTTATGAAAGAACGTGTTAGTTTGGTGTACTTTGTGCACGAGAAACAATTTAATTCAATGCCCCTTTTATTATTGTACCCATATAAAAATCTCCAACCCTGATTTGTTGTCTATGTGTGTACACGCCTGTCAGGAGTTGTGCTGGGTGTTAGGAAAGTGGAGAATTGGAAATAATAATAAAAAAAAAATGAAGTAAAATAAAAGAACAACAACCGATTCATAGGGAAGGATTACATGAGTACCTGAAATAACAGGAGATCTAGACGGATTACCCTTGAGTATTTGCTTGAAGGGGAAAAGGGAGGGTATATATACACTGACCGGTTTTTAGCTCACACGCTTTTCATTCTTTTTATCAACTACCTCGTTCTATAAATTCTATTCTACTCGACACATGTGCTCGATTTATAATCCATCTATTTGCGGTTTTTTTTCATAATACTGACGCTAACGGGACATCAAGTCTCATCAAGATTTTTTTTTCGTTTACTCGCATCTCTTTCACTTTCTACTTAATTCAAAACCCACGCATAATGTAAGGTGAAGGGTCCAATTATTGGTAGATTGAATATATACTTGAGCTGTAATCAACAACACCCAACTTTCCTCACGTTTATGTTTTTTTTTGTATTCATTTCTTTCTTAGCCTGACTAAAATTATTACTCTTAGAAAAAAAACTTGATTGCACAATTTTGTTTGTATGATAGAGAAGAAAAAATTTATTTGTTAATAGTATAGTGATTCTTTTTTTCGAATTTTTCTGTGTGTTATGGGAAAATTATGATACGATTAGTGTAGAGGTAGGCAGTTTATGAACGACAGTTGTTAATTAAAATTTATTAATTTAAATTTTTCGTTTTATTCATGTAGAACAATTAATATTTTTTACAAGGAATTAAAGTGTATTATATTTATTATTGAAATACCTGGATCGATATTTTATTTAATAACCTGTCTTTTATTAATGAGATAATTGATCAACGTCTTATCTACTGTATGAAATTCTATTTATTTACATGGACATATGAAGTTAGTCAATAATCGAAATATATTTTAGTTAAATTAAAAATCTCATACTTTCATGATTTACTAGAATATATTGCGTATAATAAAATAATCTGAATTTTTTAACGTATAAGGAATGAGTAACTCAATTTTTTGATATATTTCGATTATTGACTAATTTCAGATGTCTCTATATAAATTCATAAACACAAATGTTGATTTAATATTTATTAATTGTTTAAGGAGAAATTTATAGACATATACTAGAGTTTTTATTTGTAATGAAACTATTTTCAAGTTATTTATTACTGATAAAATAATTGAGTTGATTGTTTTCTAATAAATTTATGAATTTCTATTGAATAAAAAAAATACTTGGAAATGTAGGGAAAATTGTTTTCAATACAATGTAATATGTATACTTGAAATATAATATATAAAGTCACGAGTCAGAAAGATTATGACAGTATAAAAATAGTTTGTAGTGATTTTAATCAACAACAATCTCAGTTATCTGAATTAAATATTCATTTATTCTAAACACTCATTTTATGACTTTGAATTTACATTCTTTTGCAATAAAAAGAAGAAAAAAAATTTTCCTTAACGATTTGCTACTGATAAGCTAAGAATTTCTTGAATTATCCAATAATTTACTTAGAATTTATAATAAAATAGTTTCTTCATTTAACGATACACTCATACTTCCTTGGGCCTCTCCTCAAAAGAGAAACAATTTTTCTTTCAATACTGTTACAACATCAAACAATTTACGATAATTGTTATAACTAACAAATCCTCTAAACTATGCTCAATCATCATCAACAAACTTTTAAATAACTTTAATCAATTAATTCTAATTAGGCCCTCCACTTAGTAGTAGTAGTAGAAGTTATTTTAAATAACTATAATGATTATAATAAAAATAAGATGTAAGAAAAAATAAATACTTTAGTTTCTAACGAGAATTAAATCGTAAAGAGAATCCTACTGTGACGCAACGGGTAAAATGGACGTCCAGTCGCGAAGAAAGAGACCTATGAAGCCACGGTGGTCGAGAAAAAGGATAAAAAAAACTTGAGCTCCTTCTCTTGAGACTATATAGTACTATTATATGCTTTCGTGTTTGCTTGTGATAGTGAACCCACGTTTGTAAATACATCTATACATCCCTGAGTCCTAGAATCTTGGATTTGTATCCGTGAGAGTGAGAAGGAGAAGCAACGAAGCAACATCTCTCCACCAGCAATCCCACGGGGCCTCAAGAGAAGTACATGGCCAGACTCCATTCGTGTGTTTTACCTCTCTTGTGTTCTTCGGGGCCTCACCTTGATGCTGTGTAGAGAGATCCTCTTCTCAGTTTCTCAGTTCCCTTTCTCTCAGTCCCCTCTCGTCGACTCTATACCTCTCGTCTCACACGCCTTGTCTCCTTTTCATTCTCGCCTCAACAATGCATTTGGATCCAAATAAAAGCTGAAGCATAATCACTATTTTTTTCCTCTCTACACTTTTTTTTTCTTCTCTTAATATCTCTTTGTATATATTTCCTCCAGAGTCACGCGTACAGGATAATGGTACGAGAGTGACGGATATAGATTTTTCTAAACTGTTTTATACAATGTTGTATGTACCATTTGTGGCTATGTAGGCAAATAAATTATTATATTTCCAGTATAATCAGTGTATAGGTCATTTTTATTGCTTTAGAGTTATTTAAAGAGACTCTTTTATCGATGATATTGAAATTGAATTTTTTTCTAATTATAGCTGTTAGGATTTATAATTTATTACCAGTAAAAAAATGATTACGAGTGTAAATAAATTGTAAATTCATGAAAAATATAATATTAAAAAAATTACAAATTCATAAGAATTATTTGTTAGTAATAAAAAAGTCTTTATAAAAAGTGAGAAAATTCTATAGTGTCGATTAGTAAATAGATTTTTCATGAATTTTACATTCTTTTCTTCTATTGTTGTTCTTTAGAAAGTCAGGATGTTTTTAAAAAATAAAGGAATTCTCATCTTCAGGTGAAGAATAAAATTCCAATGGAGGGTGTATTACATAGTCAGCGTCACATTGATTAATTCTTTCAAATAAATGGTCACTTTTTTTTTGCTATCTTTCTACTAGGATATTTTGCAAATTAATATATTCAATAATCATGATGGAGATGTGAATACTGTGAACGTTTCATTCAATTAATTTCAATGAATTTTAATATTTAATTATATAACATTATGATGACTATATTCAGTAATATTTAATAATATTCAACATAATTTCAATGATTAAAGAATTCTTAAATTCACTTTCCATTGTATTGAGGTCAATTTTATTGAATTTAGTACCTCGAAGAGTTTATTGAAGATAAAATAAAATATTCTGTCACAAATTAGTTCAAATAACCATTCTCTACAATGATAATTCTCTGAATGTAGTAATATCCACTCCAATCGTAATAACGAGCTTAAGATGACTTTTTTTTTGTTACAATAATTATCATCATTACCATTAACTGAAATGATGAGCAATATCTGACATAATATACTTTAACTAATTAATAGCAACATTAACATTCTATGGTAAAATAAATCAACTTTATAAAAAAG